AATTAGGGCCTCACCTGTCAGGGCCAACTTATTATGAATCTCTTTAATTTTCACCGAGAGGCCAACACCTCGCCACAAAGCTCGGTGGCAAACATACCCAACGGGCCAAATCATAGGTAAAGCCTCTCATCGTCACTTGGCAACTAATTAGGTTCCCAAGTTACCAATTTAGCTTAATTGTTTCGCAACATGGCATAACATAGGTCAGCCAGTACCTGGGTGTTTTAGAGTATCTCTCACTAAGAAGTTTTCTCTTTCAGGTATGGTTATAAATGCTGATAAAATGTAAAGTATTGATTGCGTAATGTAGACACGTATTAAATGATTAACTTTTTGCCCTCTTTTTACAGGCCTACCCGAATGTCGGTTTTGGCACAACACAACCGGCTTGCGCACCAGTAACAGCCTATTGTCCCTGACCACAAATAATGCAAATATATGATTTCATTATAAGTGTATGTTGAGATATATATGTACAAAAGTACACTTATAAAATCAGATATATGGATTATATATGTATATTATAAAATGCTTTAATTATTTTATAATATATAATATATATATATGTATATATTTTTTTTTTACTTTTTAGCAACCTGGGGGACTGTCTGACAGCTCAGACTGTCCCCCTGCTGGCAGCTCCTAGACTCCTATTGCGGCGATGTGACCATGGTGATCACATGGCCCTGGAGGGCCAGTGTGGCCGGAGCTGCTGCAGAGAGACTGCTGGGGTGATCGCATCCAGTGCTCTAATTCCGCGCGGACGTATCAGGTACGTCCGCGGTTCTTAAAGGACCACTATAGTGCCCTGAGGGTGCCCCCACCATCAGGGTCCCCCTCCCGCCGGGCTGGATGGAGAGGAAAGGGTTAAACTTACCTCTTTCTCCAGCGCCAGGCAGGGAGCTCTCCTCCTCCTCTCCTCCCTCTTCACCTCCTCTTCGGCTGAATGCGCATTGTTAAGACACCTCCCGTGTCTTTAAGCCAAACCGCCGTTTAGTAAACCTTCCCCGGCTGCAGTACAGTCTCTGTTCGCTTACTCCGTAACCCACGAACCAAATGCAGGGGAAGCGGCAATCTCCCGATCGAAATCCACGAACGGCTCCAAACTCCCGAACGGCAATATACGAACTGCTAGGAACCGTCGAACAATAATATCCCCAAAGCGGCTTTCGTTCCATCCAGCAGTCTCTAAACGTGAAGAAGAAATCCCCCCAATAACGAGACAGAAGCTCCGCATTGAGGGTCAAATAAGATCTGGGTTTACTGTGGGCTACCTGCCCGTATTTATGCAGGTCTCCCACCTGGTGGACACTCCCCTAGGGGACCAAATGGAAGACTTAAATTACAGACAGATAGAAGGACATTTCTGACACACAGTCACATATTTTACCCACAGTGCATTCTGATTCCCTCCCCTCTGTCCTGGAGTTAATTACCAAGTAACTCAATTAACTCCAGGACAAGGACAGTCGCCATCTTAAACCTGAAATAATAAAAGACACAAAAATACATAACTACATGAAAACTGAACATTTCCCATTCGTATTACATGTCCCCAGATAGCCTGGGTCTGAGTGCATATTATTGGCGAATAGCGCTCAGATCCCACACACATAGTTCAATCGCCATGGAGTCAAAGTTCTTACAGTCCTTCGGTACACGAATGACTCCATGGGTGGGCTATCTGGGTTAAGTCTTTGGTGTGTTCTCAATCTCCCGAACGGCCGATGTTCGCATGCTTTCGTGGAGGCAGCCAGGCGTTCCCTTGTTTCAGCGGTGTTCGACAGAAAAAGTGTCCGTTTTCCGTTCCATAGAAATAGAGCCAAACACCGCTGAGCGTTCGCATGATTTAAAATGGCCGCTGCCTCGTGGTCGACATACGAACGACGACCACCCTGAGTTCGGTTTAATTGAGAAGTGTCTGCGGTTAACCACAATGTTATAATGGTGATCACTTCGTTAACCTGCAGCACACTCCTCACTTGGGTGGCCGTTCGTTCGGCGGTTTTGTTCGGGAAAAAGAGTCATTCGAATGGCTGGGCTATAGAAACCAGCCATTCATACGAACGGGGACAAACAGACGAACGGGCAAAAATCCAGCAGACAGATGGTTCTGTCACACGCATACACGGCAAGAGCTGCGCGCGCATTCAGCCAGTCCATAGGAAAGCATTCACAATGCTTTCCTATGGACGCTGGCGTCTTCTCACTGTGATTTTCACAGTGAGTAGCACGCAAGCGCCTCTAGCGGCTGTCAAGAGGCAGCCACTGGAGGCTGGATTAACCCATTTATAAACATAGCAGTTTCTCTGTTTATAAAAAAAAAGGGTTAACCCTAGATGGACCAGGCACCCAGACCACTTCATTAAGCTGAAGTGGTCTGGGTGCCTATAGTGGTCCATTAAGGACCGTTTTTGTCGGATGTATTTGATACGTCCTTTGTCCGGAAGGGGTTAAACTGTTATCGGTCTAAAAGAAAAATACACTAAGTCTTCATTGTATACTATTCTACCAATCTACTTCCCTTATACCTCCCTTACCTTTTGTATCACTTTACCCCACTTCCACTAGCTTGTAAGCTCATAGAGCTTGTTAGTCTACCCATTGTAAAGCGCTACGGAATTTGTTGGCACTATATACATATAATAGTAATAATAATAAAAAAGGTATCATAAACCGGATGTCAACAACTAATTAATTTCGACAAATTCTAGAATCTTAAACGAGGTTTGGGTAGAGGTTTATATCTTTTCACTTTAAAAGCTCAGTAATAATCATTGATGTGGATCTCTGCATTCCTGCTCATAATATGAAAGGTAAGTGAAATAGATAGATCACAGATCAGTAATGGTCAGGAAGTAGTTCTTCATCAATGGTGTTTTGTCAGCTCTAGGTATAGCAGTAACCAACATATTTTGCCTTAGGCTGCAATCGTGGGAGATGTTTCAGGAGAACGAGTTATCTACTCCGCTATCTTGATTTACAAAAGAAGCGCTAAGTATGGTAGTTTTGGATGTAGGGAAATATACTGGGCTGGAAGTAGATGGGTAAATGTGGGTCCAGTTATAACAGAATATCCTTTAAAGGGATACAAGTAACCAAGGAATGAATGGTAGATCAAAAAATTAATTTTAGACTGATAAAAATGGGTATTGATTGTGAGCATTCATTTTTCATGTTTATCAAAGTAATTTTCCATTTATAAGGATAACTGTCTCTACATCACACAAGGAACCGAGATCAACAGCGGTGAGATCACAACTGGTGATATCATCCTGTGATGTCATAAACGTAACTGCTGCAATAATTGCTTGAACATTCTGTATCCTCCCAGATGTAACGGAGTCTTTGACAGAGCTTCACCTGAATCCATGGGTCTCACACCAATCTCAGTCAGAGATATCTATACCTCACTTGATGTGTCTGAAGACTTGGACCTTGACTTCCCAATATCTGATCTTTGTGTTGGAGGTTCTAGCAGGAGGTGTTATATTTTGCGCAGCTATTTGAGTACCTGTAACCCAATTCTTGGTACTTCTTTAATGGGGATGAACATCAAATTAAGTGTTGGGAGGATTGCAATTGCGAAATTGGGAGGGATAGAGGAAAAGGGCCCAAGGTAAAACATTACTTCATGTATTCTCTATTAATCTATGTTTATTCTGCTTTAGAATTCTATCTATCTGTCTGTCTGATTGTGTGTTTGTCTATGTCAGTATTTTCAATTAATAAGGCCACCTATCTGTTAAGCAGAAATACAAACAGACAGATCTATCAATTTAAATACCCTACTTTATTTAATCCTGTGCATTTACCTCTTAATGCCCAGAGGGAATGGCAATCCTTCCAGCCATGTGTGACGAAACTACATATTTGGAGTGGTTATTTTTGGATTGCATTCGGGGGGACCTTAGTACCGAATCCCTGTTCCCCCCTGGCTTATTTATTTCGACAGGGAACCGAGTTTGACAAGGGCCCTGCTATATGGCTGTCGTTTCGATACTGGCTCGCCATGTGCTAGAGACAGCGGCGGCCATCTTGTCCCCAGAACACGGACAGTGGGACTTGGTTTTTGAGTGTCTGGTACTCTAGGCCGGACACTCGACCGTGCGATTCCCCGGGGCCTCTTTTGCGGGCATTTCTCCCTTTTCCTAATTTGCCTGGAGACCGCTATTTGGTGTGGCTGCTCCTAGTACCCCAGTGGGCCAACGCTACTTCTGAGACTCCAGACAGTTCACCTTTTTGGGTCAATTTGGTGACTTTTGGACTGACCGACCATGACAACCAAACTTATGGAACCATGCGATTGCTGTGTTACGGTGTTTTCTCCTCTCTGCTCGCTAGGATTTCAATAACAGTCGACTCAGCACTCCAAGCGAACAGGGCTTTAATCACAAAGTCTCTAGGCGATTCGGGAGTGTCTGGAAGAGTGGGTATTCTGGATACCAGTGTTCTTAACACCATGGTTCCCCAGAGGTTTCAACCATGGGAGATTTTCCTTTCCTGAGTGCTGAAGGACGACTGTTTGTGAGACCAGAGGTTGCCCACATCATGGCGGTTTCCTGGTTAAATTTGTATTAATACCCAAGACATACCCTGGCCCCTATATTTTCAATTTCCCTATTACAGACGGCAAAATTTTATTAAATCTGTTATACTGAATAAATGTAACATTCATTTATATGTATGTCTCATGTTGATTTATATTAATTTGTGCAGTGAAATGGTTGGATTTAGTGGGAGTGGGACGGGGTCTGTTAGGAGTAACTATGAATGTTTTTATTTAAAGACCCCCAACAGGGCTGACATAAACGTTGTTTGCCGAGTTATTCTAGTTTCACTGTGTTTGCGGTGGAGTCCAATTCCATAGGTGGAGTCTAGACCCCACTGCCTTAAAGCTTCACCAGCCACCACCGATTGGATTGCAACACTTCTCCCCAATCAGAATTATTCAATAAACCGGAATGATAAAGCTGAGCCTGAGAATTATTCTAATTTTGTTATTTTAGATTTAAATTTGAAATGTCTTTGTGAATCTCCAACAATGTGTTAGAGAACCGTGAGATTATTCTCTTAATAGTGAGTTCTAGTGAACTGAAAATCTCCATTTTAGCTGTAGTCACATCTTGACAGTTTTAGCTGGGATTTTGTCATATTTGTTTACATTACAATTCACTGTACTATAGATGAGTTCTGCTGTGACATCATTCTGTAAACCAGTTTAGTGGACGGGCCGGTGTGATATTTGCTTTTGATGTGTATTTGTAAACATAGATAAAATTATCACATGAGTTGCTGGCAGTATTCATTCCGAACAAAGTTTTAATTATACAGCAATGAGAAATATTTACAGGGTCACCGGCAAATTGTACACACCCATTAGAAGCAGGTTAAAAAGGGACTACGGTGACCTCCCCATCTTATATACTACAGTCTGGATATCCTTAGGTGGATCTCATGATGTGGTTCAAACTAGCCTTAGTGGCTATTACATTTCAGTGTATGTAACTAGGAAATAACTGGTCTGCACGTGAGTGGAGCTTGTTGGGCCTGCAATTAAACATAGAGGATTGTGTTCACAGTTATATATTCTAGGGAATCGTGGAAAGAAGCAGCAATGATAAATTCCTCAGAATTAAGTGGTGAGATGCTTAATGTTGCTAATCACTGTCATGCTGCATTGCTGTTAAACAGAAACATAGATTGTTACTCATCTGCCTGCCTTGTCTATACATTATAAAACCTCAAACTGATCTGTTCTTCAGAATAGCCTTATGCACGTCCCATACATTCTTCAAATTGTACAATGTTACCGTTTACTGCTTCCAATGGATAGTGATTCCATGTATTTACAACTCTTGCTATGTGACTGTTAGCTTTTAGTGCCTCCACTGGAAGGCCATTCCAGGTATCTACTACCCTTTCTGTATCACTGTTACTGCTTCCACTTGAAGGCTATCCCAGGTATCTACTACCCTTTCTATATCATGGTTAGCCTTTACTGTTGCCACTGGAAGGCTATTCCAGGTATCTACTACCCTTTCTATATCACTGTTAGTCTTTACTGCTTCCACGGAAAGGCTATTCCAGGTATCTACTACCCTTTCTATATCATTGTTGGCATTTACCCTCACACTTGGAGGCTATTCTAGTTATCTACTGTCCTTTCTATATCACTCTTGGCCTTGACTACTTCCACTGAAAGACTGTTCTGTGTATCTACTACTTTTTCTTAAATGTATTAGACATCTCATTGCTGGAAACTCCAAGTCAAATCTAGCTCTCTCTCTCTAAGTATGCAGATCGAATGATTTTTGTTCCTGGTGGAATTAGAGATGAGAAGCTAGCACCCTGCAGCAAATGTAATTTTCTATTTCCATCTGCTTGAGATGGAATTCAGAATGGTGACATTTTTAGAATTTTCTTGGAGGCTGTTTACTGCAGCAGTCATCTGTGATATATGCAAGGATCTAGGCAGGCGTGATATTCTATACCGGAATGGCGTGAAACAGATTCACACGTTTTCACACAAGGATTCACTGCAGACTCAAGGGTGTGAAATACGGGCGGACAGACTCATTGAAATGTACAGGATTTAGTAAAGGTCCATGAGGCATCCTCAAGCATGTAAATATAACTGGTGCATCATAATTTAAGGAGGCTCCCTCTCCAGTTTGCTTGTAGCATGCTTGATGCGTTTGTTTTCCCTCAAATTTCGAAGTCGAGCATTTTTACTCGTGATTTCCTCCACGTGCGTGGCAGGCACCCAGCCCCTCTCTCCGTCTGAGAGACGAATTCCTTCCATCCATCCTTAGAGGGGAAAAAAAAAAACAAGAAAAAATCACATGAATTCAGAACATCCAAAAAAAGCACCTCGAGGAAAAGGTGTTAATATGGGGTAATCTGATCCCACGCTAGAAGCTAAGCTGTCAGTTTGCACCCCTGGCTAACACGTCAAATTCATAAATCTTTATGAAACACTTTCTAGAGAAGAGCTAATGGGTTTATTGATGCAATTAGAACATTTCCATAAATTATAGTTAAACTGTCAGTTACACAAAGTTAAGCGAGGGCTGTTGTTACAAATTAAGTTTTGATATTATTATAACATATAGCTATTCTTCTATGCAAAGCATTTAACCTGTTCCGTGTTAATGACATTGTAACTTTGCAGTTAGTATGTTAAGATTACTTATCCATATCTGGCGAAGTTCTAAAAGAACACTCTAACTTTAAATACAGCATTTTGCATTTGGTGACACAATGCTGTGATGACACCCAATGTGAAGACTTCTAAAAATGGAAGATCTTAAAGGACCACTATAGTGCCAGGAAAACATACTCGTTTTCCTGGCACCATAGTGCCCTGAGGGTGCCCCCACCCTCAGGGTCTCCCTCCCGCCCGGCTCTGGGGAGAGGAAAGGGTTAAAACTTACCTTTTTTCCAGTGCCGGGCGGGGAGCTCTCCTCCTCCTCTCCGCTTCCGATCCTCCCTTTCGGCTGAATGCGCACTTGCTGCGCGCGCATTCAGCCGGTCTCATAGGAAAGCATTAAAATGCTTTCCTATGGACGCTTGCGTGTTCTCACTGTGATTTTCACAGTGAGAATCACGCAAACGCCTCTAGCGGCTATCAATGAGACAGCCACTAGAGGATTTGGAGGCTGGATTAACCCTATTATAAACATAGCAGTTTCTCTGAAACTGCTATGTTTATAAAAAAAAAGGGTTAATCCTAGAGGGACCTGGCACCCAGACCACTTCATTAAGCTGAAGTGGTCTGGGTGCCTAGACTGGTCCTTTAAGAAGAAAGTGTGTCTAGTGTTTGTCTGCCTGACAGCTACTAAAGGAATGTTTTTGGCTAAATGGGAGCTTTGTTGAGATGTTTTATACTGGAAATAATTTAAGGATTGTTTAGAGAATATTAATCACAATCGCCAGTCTTTACTGGGTACCACCTTTAGCCAATGTGCAGGGTATTAGCTACTTTCACTAGTCTTTAGTTGGTACTGCCTGCAATTATATTACCACACTTTGGTTTTACTTTGTCAAGCCCTTACTATTTCTAGGCTTCCTGTTATTAACACTATGACATGACTTTCCAGGCTATTACATACCATTACCAGTCGTTTTGATTAGTATTTACCGTTACCTACCATCACTGGTCTTTGCCGTGAGACGAAGGATGTCGGCTTTCTCCAGGGTGAGCTCATCGTGCCCCTGAGCGGTGTAGCCTTTGATACACTGCACTTGGGGTATGTCTGATGGCAAAAAGGAAAAACTATAATATTAATCTGCTCCAGCACTGGACACATAGCTAATGCTGAATGTTATACTCATGACATGACAAATGTTACTTGGATTATATATATATAGATAATGTATGTATTACAAAGCATACAAAATGAAACAAAATACTGGAATTTGAAGAACGCACATTTGCAGCAAAACCATTAGGTTTATCAGTTTCTTGTGCGAACGCTATCCAAATAGGAGGTAACTTAGACAGTTATGTTCTCTTAACTCTAAATGGCACGTCTGAGCTTATCCCATTTGAAGTTCCTTATAGGCACAGCAAGGGATTATGGGAATTTTCATTTGATTGTCAAATTATTACTTGTTATAGTATCCTGTATAGCAGTATTTTGAATTAAACATTTTGGAAACATGAAGTTTCTCTTTAATATACCCAGTATAATTAACTGTAACCTAACATACACAGTGCATCTAACATGTGTGGGAGCCTGGAGTGTCCATTTAATAATATAAACCCACCCAGTATAACTAACTGTAACCTAACCTACACAGTGCATCTAACGTGTGTGGGAGCCTGGCGTGTTCCTTTAATAATATAAACCCACCCAGTATAACTAACTGTAACCTAACCTACACAGTGCATCTAACGTGTGTGGGAGCCTGGAGTGTCCATTTAATAATATAAACCCACCCAGTATAACTAACTGTAACCTAACCTACACAGTGCATCTAACGTGTGTGGGAGCCTGGAGTGTCCTTTAATAATATAAACCCACCCAGTATAACTAACTGTACCCTAACCTACACAGTGCATCTAACGTGTGTGGGAGCCTGGAGTGTCCCTTTAATAATATAAACCCACCCAGTATAACTAACTGTAACCTAACCTACACGGTGCATCTAACGTGTGTGGGAGCCTGGAGTGTCCCTTTAATAATATAAACCCACCCAGTATAACTAACTGTAACCTAACCTACACAGTGCACCTAACGTGTGTGGGAGCCTGGAGTGTCCCTTTAATAATATAAACGCACCCAGTATAAATAACTGTAACCTAACCTACACAGTGCATCTAGCATGTGTGGGAGCCTGGAGTGTCCATTTAATAATATAAACCCACCCAGTATAACTAACTGTAACCTAACCTACACAGTGCACCTAACGTGTGTGGGAGCCTGGAGTGTCCCTTTAATAATATAAACCCACCCAGTATAACTAACTGTAACCTAACCTACACAGTGCATCTAACGTGTGTGGGAGCCTGGAGTGTCCCTTTAATAATATAAACCCACCCAGTATAACTAACTGTAACCTAACCTACACAGTGCATCTAACGTGTGTGGGAGCCTGGAGTGTCCCTTTAATAATATAAACCCACCCAGTATAACTAACTGTAACCTAACCTACACAGTGCATCTAACGTGTGTGGGAGCCTGGAGTGTCCCTTTAATAATATAAACCCACCCAGTATAACTAACTGTAACCTAACCTACACAGTGCATCTAACGTGTGTGGGAGCCTGGAGTGTCCCTTTAATAATATAAATATGTGTGACTAGCCAAATTAGCAAGCATATATATAGATTTGTGAGATGGTGAGGGGGTGTAGCGCTTTTGGGGAAACCTCAGATTTAGATTAATATTAAAAAGAGTCTTTATGATGAAACACGTTAGACATGGTGTGTTCAATAAAAACATGGCAACATTTCATTCTTTGTGTGTTATTAGTTTAAGCAGACTGTGATTGTCTATTGTTGTGACTTAGATGATGATCAGATCACATTTTATGACCAATTTGTACAGAAATCCATATCATTCCAAAGGGTTCACATACTTTTTCTCGCAACTGTAGTTACAGCCATAACCCTCAGCTCCCTAACCGTAAGGCACTGTAAAGGATTACTCCAAGCCTTCTCAGGGAGGGAACCTTTCCTGTTTAAATTGTTCTATTGGGCACTATGGAGAAGGTCCCCTGACCTTATTTTGTAGTAAACCTACAAGCCAATTTTTTTTTTTACTAACCTAAGATTCAAGCTCTGCCTACAAGGGGGAGATTTTTACATCTGTGGTGCAGTGCATGCTGACGACATACATTTTTTATGCACAGAATTGGGCCGCCAGTGTTACGTGTGCTGTGGGTGAACTAACCTCCAGCACAAAAGTGCAAATAACTAAGTGTGTGCAGTGTGTCACGCTGATACACTGCACATGTACACGCCTACCACCATTACCACTTCAAATCAGTGAGGTGGTCATGGTGGTTGGAGTGAACCTTTAGCCGCAACCTAACAATTCCGCACTGCAGTGGTGAGGTCCATGTGAGATAAGCAGGGTACATTCGGCTTTTCCTGCAGCTTTGTTTGGTTTCAGTTTAGATTAATTTTATCAGTCAGATTGAAGAGAATGAAAGTTTAGTTTGTTGCAGGGGTCGGCAACCTTTAGTACTCTAGGTCTTTGTGGTCTACATCTCCCCTTATGCTTTGCCAATATCTCTGTAAGAGTGTTATGGGAGATGTAGTTCTCAACATCTGGACTGCCGAAGGTGTCTGCTTATTATTGAATAATTATTACCCTTTAGTTTTTTCATGTGCTATATAGATAATGCATAAAAAAATGCAAAAAAGATATAAAAAATTGTATATGTTTTGTGAAACAAGTTGTGTACTGCAGTCTGTAGTCCATACATGCATTGTCTATGGCTTGGCTGTGTTTCTGGGGGTAAAACAAGTTTTGTACTGCAGTCTGTAGTCCATACATGCATTGTTTGTGGCTCGGCTGTTTCTGGGGGTGAAACAATTTGTGTACTGCAGTCTGTAGTCCATACGTGCATTGTCTATGGCTCGGCTGTGTTTCTGGGGGTAAAACAAGTTGTGTACTGCAGTCTGTAGTCCATACATGCATTGTCTATGGCTCGGCTGTGTTTCTGGGGATGAAACAATTTGTGTACTGTAGTCTGTAGTCCATACATGGATTGTCTGTGGCTCAGCTGTTTCTGGGGGTGAAACAAATTGTGCACTGCAGTCTGTAGTCCATACATGCATTGTATGTGGCTTGGCTGTGTTTCTGGGGGTAAAACAAGTTGTATACTGCAGTCTGTACAGTCTGTAGTCCATACATGCATTGTCTGTGGCTTGGCTGTGTTTCTGGGGGTAAAACAAGTTGTGTACTGCAGTCTGTAGTCCAAATGTGCATTGTCTGTGCCCTGGCTGTGTTTCTGGGGGTAAAACAAGTTGTGTACTGCAGTCTGTACAGTCTGTAGTCCATACATGCATTGTCTGTGGCTTGGCTGTGTTTCTGGGGAGGTGAGTGTGCTCAGACCAAGGTGTGTTTATAGTGTGTGCATTCTACACGCACAACATGGACAAGATTCACTCTGACATTCTGTAACTGAGCAGTACTAAGCCACAGTCAGAGCTAAGACAACTTTGCAATTATAGAAAGCTGTGATGGTGCTTAGAGTGACCCTTTAATCATTTATAAAAGTAATGCTCGTAATATTTTTATTGTGCTTTTACCTGCCTGGATTTTCTATCTGTTTGCATATCATTAAATGCACTGGCAGTTTATGGGGCTTGTTTGCCCCCTAGTGGCAGGTGTTTTACACTGATACCCACTTGTCACTTTTACAGAGTTATTCACAAAAGTGAAAAATCGTGGTGAATTCAAAGTGAATTTAAAATGTAAGGTCCAAATAGCCGAACAAACTCTAAGTCACCTACGCTTTCAGTTCAGTTACTCGGGCTTTACGTTTGAAATTTATTTTGAATGCTCACGATAGTGAATAGTATGGGTTAATGACTAAACTGAGAATGCAAAGTGAATTTCAAATCAACAGACACAGTAAGTGAACTGAAGGCATTACTCAATTAAAAGATTTTTGTCACTTTGGCTATTTTGACCTTACATTTTAAATTCACTTTGAATTCTCACTCCTGTAAACCCGTAGTAACCTATTAGCACCATCTTCGTACACTGACAGGTTTCTTCTGTCTATACTATGCCTTTTGATCTCTTTCCTTATTTTTGAAATGCACAATTTACAGTTTGTTTTTTTTAAGTAGCCCCAAAACTGTTTTTCTGTAGATTGCTAGTCGTACTGACACATAAAGAATGCTCATTGCTTTCTTATTGAGATTTTTATTCAGAAAGCCCACAATTTAATTCCAGACAGTTCTACAATTCTCTTTCCAATTCACTGGTATGCAATTTATGCATCATCTTTCAGGATAAATATGGGAATTATGCAAATGAGGTAAAACATTGTCCGCATTTACGTAAATATCCCAGAGTGCCTCGAGAGTGCACTTCAAAAGTTTAAAATAAGATGTTTGCCCTTACCTTCATTTTCCGTTAAGTGCTCAAGGTCACGGAGACTGGAAGGACACATAGCGGAAATCCAACGTTGTTTCTCGCTCCTAAATAAAAAGAGAGATTATTTCACTGTTCAATCTATGTCAATCATTAACTTAATGTAACATCAAAACACAGGGCCTGATTGGGAAGAAAATTCAGCCCGGGCATTTTTTAATTACAGCAGCCCACTAAAAAGGGGGTGGGGCCAGATAGGGTGTGTTTTGTCATTACCAATGACAAGCACGCCCCACCACAAAGTGATCATGTTGGTTCAATGCTCTTCCAGGGTAGACCATGCACAGAGCTCTGCTGAAGAGCTCTGGCATGAGAAAAAGACCCTGTATTTGTTCTGCACAGCGCAAGCAAATTTAATAACATGCTTGCACTGTGTTTGCTTGAAATTTGTCACTGGTGTCTCCATAGTTGGGATACCAGGAGACAAAAATGCTAGGAAAGCATATTGTGCAGTGTGTGTGAGTGTGCTCTCTGTGTGTGTGTGTGTGTGTAAGCGGTGTAGTGTGTGTGTGAGGGGTGTAGTGTGTGTGTGTGATGGGTGCTGTGTTTGCGTGAGGGTGCTATGTGGGTAAGGGTGCTTTGTGTGTGATGGGTGCAGTGTGTGTGCTGTGTGTGAGTGGGTGCTGTGTTTGCATGAGGGTGCTATGTGCGTGTGAGGAAGCTGTGTGTGAAGGGGTGCAGTGTGTGCATGTGAGGAAGCTGTGAGTGTCAGGGGTGCAGTGTGTGTGTGTGTGTGTGTGTGTGTTGTGAGTGTCGGGTGCAGTGTGTGAGTGTGGGTGCTGTGAGTATCAGGGGTGCAGTGTGTGTGTGTGTGTGTGTGTGTGTGTATGTGAATGTGTGTGCTAGTCAGGGTGCTGTGAGTGTCAGGGGTGCAGTGTGTATGTGTATGTGTGTGCTAGTGAGTGTTAGGGGTGCATTGTGTGTGTGTGCTGTGAGTGTCAGGGGTGCAGTGGGTGTGTGTGTGCTGTGAGTGTTAGGGGTGCAGTGTGTGAGTGTGGGTGCTGTGAGTATCAGGGGTGCAGTGTGTGTGTATGTGAATGTGTGTGCTAGTCAGGGTGCTGTGAGTGTCAGGGGTGCAGTGTGTATGTGTATGTGTGTGCTAGTGAGTGTTAGGGGTGCATTGTGTGTGTGTGCTGTGAGTGTCAGGGTGCAGTGGGTGTGTGTGTGCTGTGAGTGTTAGGGGTGCAGTGTGTGTGCTGTGAGAGGGGTGCAGGTGTGTGTGTGTGTGTGTTGTTAGGGGTGCAGTGTGTGTGTGTGCTGTGAATGTCATGGGTGCGGTGTGTGTGTGTGTGCTGTGAGTGTCAGGGTGCAGTGTGTGTGTGTGTGCTGTGAATGTCAGGGGTGCAGTGTGTGTGTGTGTGCTGTGAGTGTCGGGTAAGGTGTGTGTGTGCTGTGAGTGTCAGGGGTGCAATGTGTGTGTGTGTGTGTGCTGTGAGTGTCAGGGGTGTGCAGTGTGTGTGTGTGCTGTGAGTGTCAGGGGTGCAGTGCGTGTGTGTGTGTTTGCTGTGAGTGTCAAGGGTGCAGTGTGAGTGAGGGTGCTGTGAGTGTCAGAGGTGCAGTGTGAGTGAGGGTGTTGTGAGTGTCAGAGGTGCAGTGTGAGTGAGGGTGCTGTGAGTGTCAGAGGTGCAGTGTGAGTGAGGGTGCTGTGAGTGTCAGAGGTGCAGTGTGAGTGAGTGTGCTGTGAGTGTTAGGGGTGCAGGGTGTCTGTGAGTAAGTGAGGCTGCTGTGACCTGAGTGATTATATCCCCCCTCCCTGCTTACCTTTAGCCTGGGAGGGGGGATCCTGCTGCCATTCATCCCTGGTGGTCCTAGTGGTGAGTGAACTCTAGCCTGTGGGGCTAGAGTTCACTCTCGCAGGACCCGGAGCGTTGTTAGTTAAAGCTCCTCCGGGTTCCTCTGCTGGCAGGCTGTCTTCCTCACTCTCTTCCCCGCCGGCGGCCGCAGTATACTGCATGTGGGCCGGTGACGGAGATCTCTGATCTCCCCACCGGCCTGCCATGGACTACTGCAGGGCCGGCGCTCGGATAGTGCCGGCCCTGCAAAGACCGGCAGGGGAGATCCTGTGATCTCCCTGCTGGCCTCGGCCCATGGCCACCGCGGCCCACCGGGTACTTGCCCGGTGTGCCCGATGGCCAGTCCGGGCCTGTCAGAACAGTGTTTGTGTACAAGTGAAACTATCCTTATACAAAACCTTTTAGTGTCTCGAGGGTTTGCTTAATCAGAAGGTTAAAACACTATGTATTTGAAGGTGAGGATTTATGGTCACTTTTGAATAATTCCAAAAGAAAAAAGGTATTATAAAAAAACAGTTCCAGAGAAGTCCCAGAGAATACTGATGAGTGCTCCCCTTTAAATTACAAATACTGTATCCTATAATTATCAATTGTTGTAATCGATTCCTTCTCTTTTATTTCACCTTAAATATGGCCAGACTTTCACTGAAGGCCTTGTAGTAGAACCTTAATAGAACCATAGCTTTTTGTGTGCCTATGTAGAAACATTGATGCAGTATTTGACCTAAAAAGGGACCTTTTAATGATTTAATATTGTTCTTTAGCGACAATGCCTTCAACCTCTCACAGGTTCAACTCACGCATTGCCCTGAAGGTTCTCACGGATGGTTCTCCTTATCAAAATGGCCTCAAACCACTGATATTTCTTGAATGAACAGGTCTGTGCAAAGGATTACAGCTGCGTTAAAGGGACACTATAGTCACCTGACCAACTTCAGCTTAATGAGGTTGTTCAGGTGAGAACTATACCTCCCTGCAGCCTTTCTCATGGAAACACTGTATTTTCTGTGAAAATACAGTGTTTATATTGAAAGCTAGGAACACCTCCAGTTACAGTCACTCAGAGTGAACCAGAGGGACTTCGGAGTTGATGGAGGCATAATATGCCTCCATCCACTCAGATCTGCTGTCAGCAGAGCACAGGGCAGCACTGTGCAGAGCATCATGTGATTCAGTATCTCCTCCCTCTGCATGCAGACACTGAACTTTCCTCATAGAGATTCAGTGATTCAATTAATCTCTATGAGGAGATGCTGATTGGCCAGGGCTGTGTTTGAATCATGCTGGCTCTGCCCCTGATCTGCCTCTTTGTCAGTCTCAGCCAATCCTATGGGGAAGCACTGTGATTGGATCAGGCTACAACGTGTCAGCAGACTGCTTGTTTTTCTGAGTCTCACAGCATGCAGAGTTACAGCTTCAGGCTTGAATACAGTAAGATTTTTACTATATTTATGGAGGCATGAGGGGGCCAGGGGGGCTAGATGGTGGTACATGTTTGTGATCCTTTAAAGTCAGAACTGTGACTTGGACATCCCAAAAAGGACCAATCTTCCTCAACCATTCAGTGTTAGAAGCATTCACATAGTTGTAGTGTAGAATGACCCACATTCTGCAAAATTTTTAAAAAGGACATTATCTTGTAGAATTTGCCTGTATGAATCTCAAATCCATTGTGTGTGTGTCTTCAGGGAGTATTGCTTACCATGCTATCAAAGGGTCTTTGGAAATTTAATTCACAAACTTGTGCCATGAAAATCTGGTGCCATGTAGACATTACACTTGTTCTATAGAGACATGCCCCACAGGCTCACTGTAGCTTCGCCTCAAATTATATTGTAAGAGTGGTGATTTATCCTGAAGGTTCGCACAGTTTTTTTCTCCAAGAATGAATGGTCGATTAAAATTGATGTATATAATAATTTTTACTAAATGTTATTTTTAAGTAATTGCCAATCGAATTATATGCAGCTATGATTGTAATAATATGTTTTAAGGCCAAAATAATGCAGAAATACAGAAAATTCTGAAAGGTTCTCACTTTTTTTTAATCCCAAATTGTATATTGTTATTTAAACTTTGGTAACTGTTTTCATTCTTGTTTTGTTCTTTTGGCTTTTATGTGACTGTAAATACTGGTAATGTTAACATTCCACAGAGAAGACTCGGCCAATCATAGCAGTACCCGGAGTAGAAGCCCTGCCCACGAGGAGCTTTACATTGATATTCCTCTTGCTGTCTCTAAAATATATCACAGGCTAAGCCTTATTTTACATCTGGAGGATTAAAAAACAGCAAACAGTGCATAAAATGTAAATAAAAAAAAAGCTTTTCTATTTTAGTGTGCTATATAGTCTTCTGTCATCTTATTTCACAAAACTCGACCATATATCCGCTATCCCTTTAAGAAGATCAGACTGCCAGTGACCCTGCCTCTGGGGGTATCTTGCCAGCCGCTGCAGATACTGTCCCTGTAGCGTTCTTACCTCTCCTTATAGTTCCGTTTACATTTTTAAGTCTAATGTTTTTGCCCCCACCCTCTCCTGTTCCCAATGCTCACTCGCTCTGTGCCCGTAGTAAAATCTGGTACTTTGGCCGCTGGTCATGACATAACTGCACGTGGAACACTTCCCCAGGCACCTCCTGCAGCTTCCAGCTTAGATCGGTCACTTTCAGATCACACACCGCGGCATGCGCGAAAACGGCAAACCTGCCCAGCCTGCAAGTTAAGAACATTCACTAAATGTGAGGGGGGGAAAAACAGCTAACAAACAAAGACATGAAATCAAATACAAAATCACTTGCGTAGAGTAGCACCTACCATGGGCAGCTTATTAGATTGTCAGAGATTTCCTTTTTTTTTTTTTTCTTTTCTTTCTTTGTTTTTATATTTCAGACAATACCCGCCTCTTTATATATTTCAGATTTGTCATCATATATGGCGGGTATAATAGTCATCATAAATACATATATATTGCGATCCCCCCGATCTCCATCCCTCCCCCGCTTAGAACCGACAACTATCAGCCATCATTACTATTTATATATTGTATTCTACCCAAACATATTAAGTTGACCAAAGTGAAGGTACCCCGTTCATGAAACAGTGGAGGGAGAAAGAGAGAGGGTACGGAAAAAGAAACACACAAAAAAAAAAAAAAGAAAGAAGGTGACCTAACCACATTCATACACACATTCACACCTAACCTTACTGCACAGCTCTGTGAGTCAAATTATTTAATATCAACAGGAAATATCTACTATATCATTCTATTGATTTTGTCCTTCTAAAGAGTCAGTTCGGTTTCTTGTTTCTCCAATTTAATTAGCCAATTTTCCCACATACTATATTCTCTATATTGATTTTTAATTTTATTCATCCCTAGTTCCATATGAATCTGATATTTTAATTGTTGAATAAGTTGCTTCTTCAGGAATGATTGCGTCTTTTTCCAATTTCTGGCAATAATAATTTTTGATGCTATTAAACAATGTATTGTCAAGATTTGATTCATTCTGCTTAGAGCAGGCCACCTTATATGTAATAACATCACCTCTGGTTTCATTTTTATTCCTATACCATTTATCTTGTGTAATAATGAATTAGCCATAGACCATAAGGGAATTACTCTCTTACAGCTCCACCATATATGGAGATAGTCTCCTTTTTCTTCTCCACATCTCCAGCACAAATCATTATTATCGTTAAACATTCTTGATATTTTTGAGGGGACTAAATACCAGTTATTTATCACTTTAAAATGTGTTTCAATCAGGGAGAGACTATGCACATATTTATTTGTTTTCATTATAGCAGCATACCATTCTTCTGAATCTATGGGGAACTTCAGGACTTTTTCCCAGCTTTTTATTGCCGTTGGGCGGTTCTCTGTTTTTATGGAATCAAAAAATTTTATACAGACAGCAAAAAGGTTTTTGGACTCTTTTTTAGAGAAAATTATTTTTAACGCATTATATATTTCCCCACTATTTACAAAGGTTTTGGACTTCAGATAGTTCCTAACTCTGAGATAAGAAAATGCCTCTCTATTTGGGAGAGAAAATGTTCTTGTCAATATATCAAAAGTCTTTGGCTCACCGTTTAGCATTAGATCTTCAATCTTTCTGATATTTACCTCTCTCCATACTTTTAAGGAAATATTTATAATATCTATTTCCAGACTCTCTATATTTTGAAAACCCAAGAGCTTATTCTTAATATCTGATTTCATCTTTATTCTTTCCCATATAGGGATAATTTGATCCAATATAAATGATAATGAGTAATCATAACTTTTGTTGTTCCATATAATGTTAGATAAATTTTTTGATTGGCATAAAGCTGTTTCTATCCTCCCCCATGCCTCTCTTTGGTATATCTCCCTTTGTAACATTACAATATGATAAATTATTCCGGCTTCATAAAATTTTACTATATCTGGGAAGCCTAATCCCCCTCTATCTGTATTGGAGCACAGAGATTTCCTAATGACAGTCACCATCTCTCTATGTTCTAATGTAATCTAAGACCCATAATCCTTAATGTTACTTGAGTTCTATCTTAGCAGCAGTTCCCTTTTCAGTTCTTCACAGTTCCTGGCTCAGTCAATTTAAGTTTTTTTTACTAACAGGGCTAATCACTATAGTGAGAATTCTAAGGGATTTCAAATTTAAGACCAGACAGTTTGAAGTCACCTTGAAGTCTAGTGAATAACCATGTGAAGCATGAATCCTCTTAAATTCACCATGGAACTGCACATTTTAGGACAAAACAGCCAAATTAGAAGAAGGAAAAAAAACGCAAGTCAGCGATGTTTTTATCTTAATTTAGTCTAATATTTGAAAGTCCCTGGTGAATTCACAGTTTAGTCAATAACCATCCACAAGTGTCAGAAATCTGCTATTCTTAGCATGTGTGGAGAGGCGATGTTACTGGCTCACTGTCAGTGCTTTCAGAAGATCAAAAGATAACCTTTCTGTATTATTAGATAAAGAGTAACATGCCCAGGGTAGTGTGTTGGGCAGGTAGCATTATACTCTATAGCAGTGATAAAGTCCGCCATCACTGACACTTACTCTTTTTTCCGGGACAGTAACAGACAGTCATTAAACAGATGCAGATACACTGTCCTCGGGCTGAGTTTAAATCGGGATCCGGCCACGTTTGGTATTTGCATGTCCAGTTCAGTCAATTCTCCGTGTTTTACCAGCCAGCGGGACTGAGAGATCAGAGGGAATATCTGCAGAGACGGGAGACACAGAGTCATTCTATTCTAGATCCAAGGATAATCGTTTGATGTATGTGTCTATAGGTGGTACATTACAGGGGAAAGTGTGGGGTAAATTATATTACCTCTGTTTTACTACATTATATAGAAAATACATTAGAAATACAAAAAAATAAAAATAAAACACATTTAAAAAAATATTAAAAAGGATGCCTTAAAGTTCACAGCCAAATCGCTGTTCAGTGGGTCTGTCTGCAATTGCAAGCAGACCTCGCTTACACCAGATTGAGACCAGCAATCAGGATCATCTCATTCTGGTTTGTAGGGACTGAATTTATCCCATATACATCGAAATAAAAGAAGTTTGTGGGATTATTACTCTATTACATCACTTAGGATGAGTGGGAGTGCTATGTAGACTGATTCTGAGTGTGCACTCAGTTTACAATGTTCGGTGAGCTTTGCAATGTTAACCTGTTGGCAGAGCGAGCTGAGCAATGTTAACCAGCTGGCAGAGCAAGCTGGACAATGTTAACCTGCTGGCAGAGAGAGCTGGACACTGTTAACCAGCTGGCAGAGAGAGCTGGGCAATATTAACCAGCTGGCAAAGCGAGCTGGGCAATGTTAACCAGCTGGCAGAGCAAGCTGGACAATGTTAACCTGCTGGCAGAGAGAGCTGGACACTGTTAACCAGCTGGCAGAGAGAGCTGGGAAATGTTAACCAGCTGGCAGAGCGAGCTGGGCAATGTTAACCTGCTGGCAGAGTGAGCTGGGCAATGTTAACCAGCTGGCAGAGCAAGCTGGACAATGTTAACCTGATGGCAGAGAGAGCTGGGCAATGTTAACCAGCTGGCAGAGCAAGCTGGATAATGTTAACCAGCTGGCAGAGCAAGCTGGACAATGTTAACCTGATGGCAGAGAGAGCTGGACACTGTTAACCAGCTGACAGATGTTAACCAGCTGGCAGAGCGAGCTGGGCAATGTTAACCAGCTGGCAAGGCGAGCTGGGCAATGTTAACCTGCTGGCAGAGCGAGCTGGGCAATGTTAACCAGCTGGCAGAGCGAGCTGGGCAATGTTAACCTGCTGGCAGAGCGAGCTGGGCAATGTTAACCTGGTGGCAGAGCGGGCTGGGCAATGTTAACCTGCTGGCAGAGCGGGCTGGGCAATGTTAGGAATTGTCTAGTCAGTTCCTGTTAATTCCGGTTCAGTCAATAATGCTGCATATCCTTTTTGACTCTATATACCTTGTATATATAACTCCGTGTGGATTGTGGAAGTGTTTACTCACGGCTGAGACTCTCACTCACCTTGCTTTCGAAGTGAATCTTCTTATTAAGATGAATAAGCTCCTCTGTTCTCTTCATTGATTGGACGCTGGCGTTGCACTCTTTCACGAGCTGCGATGGACAAGAATATTGGATAGTAACAATTCTCTTTACATCCTGAGCTTGTACATCCTAACCTGTCTATCACGGGACCCGCCGTGCCCTGCTGTGACTCCAATATCACCATCCTGCACCCAAACATTGGACTTTACATGGCTCTCACATGTCTGCCACTTGATCTGGGGCCACCTTTATGACTCACACATTCCTTCACAGCTACATGTCAGCTGTGTATCTGCCAGTAATATACCACCTCCCCTGCATGAATTCACTAACACCAGCCTGCCACCTCTCACCCAACTGCGACCAGACCTTCCCATGGCCTGACCGTCCGGGAGAATGACCTCTCATTACAGAACGAATCATAGAAACACAACATTCAGATGTCACTCAGTGCGAAATGTACGTGCAAATTATCCCAAGCATTTCCAGAATAACTAAAGTAAACCAAACGTTGGGGTTTCAGCTGGATGTTCTAGTTTAAAAAAATATCCCTTAATACTGAGACAAGGCACAGATTAATTTAACAAGGTTCCTCTTGGATAGACCCATTGTACATCGTTGCACAATTTGTTGGCGCTTTATAAATATGAATAATAGTTAGCTGTACCACAGGAGTGAGAAATGATCTGGTTTAATCTGTGATGAATATAGTGGAACCAATCATCCATTAAACCTGGCTCAGTAATTAGTGTTACCTTCTTTAACTCAGTAAAGGCTTTGCTGGCTGTGTCCTCATTGTGGGACCCCGGCGCTGTGTGCTTCAGTATGTTCTGTATGCGAGTATAAGGTGATGGTTAGACATTGATATCAATAAACGAGAAGGCCGACACTTAGAAATATAGACTGCAGCGCAGACAGACGGGTAAAAATACAGCCTAATAGAGAGGAACACAAACAAACTGACAGCAAAGCAGGCCTCAGACAGAAAAACTAAATGTTCAACACAAATACAGCCTGACTTATACAAATATACAAAAACAAAATAATCTCAAAAAGCAGACAGTACGACAGAAATGGTCTAAAAAATTCAATCCACCAGAGGCCAGCAAGACACGACAAAAGAAGTCACTACATTTGATGAATAAATAAACATCCTTAGATCTCTGCTTGAGCAGAGTGGGTTTTTATCAGTAATTGTTGGTTACCTATACAGGTATTCGATGAATATGCATAGCATGATGTGCTCAGCAGAGGGCGCTTGCATTCACATTTTACCCACAGTTATACTGTGCACACAGCAATCACAGGTAACATTTTAACCACTTCCACTCACTCTATAATTACACTCAGTTTTGGGATAAAAACAGATATTTCCAAAGAAGTTACAATTCAAGTATTTTACCAGATTGAGGGCATTGTTTTGTGAGTTGACTGCTAATAACTTATTATGTGAAAGAATGTAACATATTAAAAGGGATTAGATCATGATGCTCAGAGCTATTCACTAAGAGAATTGTGGAGAAGTAACAAAGCGATTGCATATTCTAGGACAAAGTAGCCGAGTTGGAAAAGTTATCCAGCACAGCTGTTTTCCTGCTCAGCTATTTTGGCCTAGAAAGTGCAAATTTCTTTATAAATTCTTCCCAATCCCCTATTTAGTAAACACACCCCTAATATATGAGCAGATTTTATCCTCCACCCTTTTGGTGCCGGCGGCTGAGCAGCGCATTGCAAAGCAACGCTACTGACATGGGTTCCGCCGTTTCAGCCGCTGGAAGTGACAGGTTTATTGTAGCGAAAGGATTTATTGATGTGGAATTTGTGGATTTCGTGTCTATAGGGGCCACGCCTATCCTCTTTCTCTGCTATAAGCATCACAGTCCTGTCTGATGAAATCCCCCCAGAGGCGTTTTCAACATGCACAGCGATTCTGCAGCACGCCAGCCCCCTGCTGCCGGCAACGCGTGATAAAACAGAGAATGAGATAGAAGCAGTGGAGCAGCATGAAGAAGAAATAACGACCGTATAAATATCACAGGCCACTATCAGTACTGTAAAATATAAACGGGAAACATTATTTCAGTGCTGAATAGTAACTGCTACTCAAACACTCTCACTTCTTTCTGACTAGATCTGTAAATAAGAAATAGAGCTCCACAGGTGTCACAACGTAGGGCGAAGGCAAAAAATATATCTATTGGAGATCCAAAAGGACAAAAAAAAAAGACACAACTTTTCGTCCTTTAGGATCTCCAATAAATATACTTTTTTCCTTTGCCCTACATTGTTGTTCCTGGTAGGCTGCGGACCCCCTTCCACAGAGCTCCCACGTAAACTTGCCTCGGTGCAGCACTCCATTGACTTTATGCATGGATCTGTAAATCAGCCAGTGCCTATTTTGGATTTATGTCCTGTGGGCAGGAGCCTCTAATATGTTCCTTTGATATTTCCGAGAATCCTTTTACCTTGACACTTTTTTTTACCTCTGTGCTGTAGGAAGGCCCTCAGTACACCAAATACAGGCAGAGTATTCCCATGATACATTCCACAATGTGATTTTGGACTAAGATTTAAGGATTTCTGAGGGCACCAATAGGCCTTTTTAAATACTAGGTCCTAGAGTTTTCTACTTCCCTTACACAGCTCCCTCCATTGTATATGATGTTAGACAATACCCAGTCTATATGATGCCATTCTGATGGCAAAGTAAGCTACTTAATATCCTTGTCTAAAAGATAAGATTTAAAAGTGAGTAAAATTTTAATATTTTCTATAGGGCAATTCCATATGTACTCAATGAATAGCCTCTAACTTCAGACTCATGGCACTCCTAAATTATTAGTCCTGTTTGTTATATAGATTGAAAACCAATATTCTGCAAACCCCGCAAACCCAGAGCCACATGAACCTGAAAACTATGGAATTGGTACCCCAAAGTACAAGCAATTTACTCCACAGGGCAGGGTTTAGATGGATTCATGAAATATATAAGGAGCATACCTCCACCAGCATTTTTAGTCGCATTATCCTCTGGAAAGGTAGGATAAGGAAGGAAGTCAAAGGGAGACGTTGGCAGACTTGGTCCTCTTCCAATTTAGCCAGGACAGTTCGGAATCGAGCGTTCTCCAGTCTGAAACAGAAGGAAAGTTCCAAATTAGCACTTGTCATGATTTAAAGTCCTCTGATCCTCTCAAGCAATGTACTAACATAGTGCACACTGGAAAAGAGGGTAGAAACATTGTATCGCATTCTCCAGATCCTCCAGCTCATAATAGAGCGTCGTGAATATTGCAGTGTGGAAAGCTCAAGCTGTAAAGATTACCATTCCACCCATGAATGAATCACTTACAGCAGACGTTGATAGGTTTGTTCCTGATAAGCCTGATTTGTGACATACGGGAGGTAAACCCTGCGCAATTCAGGACAGTGACGTAAAACAATATCACAAACATCAAAACGCAGAATATCTTCTTCCAGCCTTTCCTCCAAATCTGCAAGGAACCTGTCCAATAAAGAGAATACGAAGTCAAAAACGCGTTCTTCAGGACAATTTTATGTTTTAAACATTTGCGCAGGTTATGGAACTAGCTCCATATTGAGTACATAGAATTAGCTTGGCAACCTATTCTTTCAGTGTGAAATTATCTCAGTAACCCATTTTCCAATGGTAACAGAATATATAACCAAAATTAATTATGCAAAACAGAATTATAAAGGACTTCCAGTGCACTGGAGAAAGCAGTGCTGCTTTACTAACTAGTTTATACTCCTGGCATCTGATGACCACTGGCAGACATAGTCCACAGAAAATAGAATGGGTACTGAAATATGGGTCCTGATCCAAATTGTATTATAGTTTCTACACATTAATTTAATCTGGATTCAGTTAATCTGCAGAACGTTTCCCGCTGGCGGTGAAGCCATACTGTGCATAGTCAATCTCACTCTTAGGCTCTATTTAAATCAAAGGAAAGCACTTGCCCCCTATTGCCATATGCTACGGATGCTCATATCTGATGAGATCACTAGCTGTTACTGTGATATTTCACTTTTGAATTTCCAGACTAATGAGACAAAAAGTCCTGTATGCTAGAAGAGCCACGACATATATGTACAGATTTTTAAATATCCCCTTTAGGACACAGCTTCAGAAGTAAAATTCCAGCATGCTGGAAAATTTCCTTCATGTGTCCCTAACGGGATATTTTAAAAAAATGCTCTACATGAGGATTTAAAAAATATGTGGAGCATGGTGGGCAGAGACTCACGCACCTCTCACTGATCTCCTTCACTTCTGGTAGTTTTGAGAAGAGCCACTGTTTTTCCTGGGTGCCAAGGCACTCACTGAGCTCAGGAGAGTTAAGGAAATGATCAACGACGATAGAAAGACTGTTGACGTAGGAGGCCTCCGAGGTCACCAGCTCGAACTTGGCCTGAGGAGACACCAGTTGGCAATGAAATATGTTATTGGCCATATTTAAACTCTATTGCCATATTTGCAATTGATCATATCATGGCGGACTTTCTTTATCTCTCGTCGTGTTAATGGAAATATTCAACTAACTTTTTTCAAGCCATCTCTCACCTCTTGCAGTTTTCGCTCCTGGACAGTTAAGGTATTGAGCAGGCCGCTGCCTCTTACATCCGGGATATCCTGCCAGAGGGAGAATGTTGATCCACGAGATGATCGCTGGGAGCGGAAGGAACTGCTTGGGGAAAGGTTGCTCTTAGGACTAGCCGACACATCATCATCATCACCAGCAATGTCCTCTCTCTTCTGTCTCTGGATCTCTCGATTGATGGCTACATCACTGTATTCCTGATACAGGATAGCTGGGAATCAAGAGGCACAGCATTAAAAACTGTTGTATGATAAGCTCCATCATGCATGTGCGTTAATGAAGCTGCAGTTTCTATAAATGTGGCGCCAGGTTTTATATAATGATGACACTTTAAAGTCATCATATTTGAAAGGAACCATTGCCATCTACACAGCTTTTATCTCAAAACAAAACTACCTATAATATATGTTTTAAAAGCTGTGGACTATTTTACTTTCTTGTTTGGCAAAAAGCCCTCCTTTCGTCTCACTCCACCTTCCAAGGCTGACGGAGCAAATCAATCTTCCACTATGGAGGAAAAGTTTTTGTGAAAGGTATGATGGTGGCCTCCAGTGACACAGGGTAGGCTTTTAGTTCATATTACAATTATTTTATCTGTGAATACTGATATATAGGTGAATGAAGTACAGTTGCGAGAAAAAGTATGTGAACCCTTTGGAATGATATGGATTTCTGCACAAATTGGTCATAAAATGTGATCTGATCATCATCTAAGTCACAACAATAGACAATCACAGTCTGCTTAAACTAATAACACACAAAGAATGAAATGTTGCCATGTTTTTATTGAACACACCATGTAAACATTCACAATGCAGGTGGAAAAAGTATGTGAACCCCTAGACTAATGACATCTCCAAGAGCTAATTGGAGTGAGATGTCAGCCAACTGGAGTCCAATCAGTGAGATGAGATTGGAGGTGTTGGTTACAGCTGCCCTGCCCTATAAAAACACACACACCAGTTCTGGGTTTGCTTTTCACAAGAAGCATTGACTGATGCCTCGCACAAAAGAGCGCTCAGAAGACCTACGATTAAGAATTGTTGACTTGCATAAAGCTGGAAAGGGTTATAAAAGTATCTCCAAAAGCCTTGCTCTTCTTCAGTCCACGGTAAGACAAATTGTCTATAAATGGAGAAAGTTCAGCACTGCTGCTACTCTCCTTAGGAGTGGCTGGCCTGTAAAGATGACTGCAAGAGCACAGCGCAGACTGCTCAATGAGGTGAAGAAGAATCCTAGAGTGTCAGCTAAAGACTTACAAAAGTCACCGGCAAATGCTAACATCCCTGTTAGCGAATCTACAGTACGTAAAACACTAAACAAGAATGGATTTCATGGGATGATACCACAGAGGAAGCCACTGCTCTCGAAACAAAACATTGCTGCACGTTTACAGTTTGCACAAGAGCACCTGGATGTTCCACAGCACTACTGGCAAAATATTTTGTGGACAGATGAAACCAAAGTTGAGTTGTTTGGAAGAAACACACAACACTATGTGTGGTGAAAAAAAGGCACAGCACACCAACATCAAAACCTCATCCCAACTGTGAAGTATGGTGGTGGGGGCATCATGGTTTGGGGCTGCTTTGCTGCGTCAGGGCCTGGACGGATTGCTATCATCAAAGGAAAAATGAATTCCCGTGTTTATCAAGACATTTTGCAGGAGAACTTAAGGCCATCTGTCTACCAGCTGAAGCTCAACAGAAGATGGGTGTTGCAACAGGACAATGACCCAAAGCATAGAAGTAAATCAACAACAGAATGGCTTAAACAGAAGAAAATATGCCTTCTGAAGTGGCCCAGTCAGAGTCCTGACCTCAACCCGATTGAGATGCTGTGGCATGACCTCAAGAAAGCGATTCACACCAGACATCCCAAGAATATTGCTGAACTGAAACAGTTCTGTAAAGAGGAATGGTCAAGAATTACTCCTGACCGTTGTGCACGTCTGATCTGCAACTACAGGAAACGTTTGGTTGAAGTTATTGCTGCCAAAGGAGGTTCAACCAGTTATTAAATCCAAGGGTTCACATACTTTTTCCACCTGCACTGTGAATGTTTACATGGTGTGTTCAATAAAAACATGGCAACATTTCATTCTTTGTGTGTTATTAGTTTAAGCAGACTGTGATTGTCTATTGTTGTGACTTAGATGATGATCAGATCACATTTTATGACCAATTTGTGCAGAAATCCATATCATTCCAAAGGGTTCACATACTTTTTCTTGCAACTGTATATGTAACTGTAAAATTCAGAATTTAATAAAGTGAGTATTTTTTATTTCTTTAAAATGTACTGTGACCTCTTCCTTACGTCATGAAAACATGTACTGTCGCCGGACTCCAGACAGGTATGTTTCATGAGAGATTGGGAATTCTTTCGCACATGCACCAAGTATTTTAGGCTGACAGAAACAATTATTAAAATTGTCTTAAAACTTTTTAAAGACAACATAAAGGCACATTGTAAGCTTTCAGAGAATTTAAAGTCATTTTCCAGTGGCAGATCTGCTAGCTATCAGATCAAACAGTTTGTATGGTATTTGCCTGTGTCTTACAAGGAGGAAGATTTTTGTTGCTTAAGGCAATTTAAAATTAAAGGCTGAACAGATAATCTCCTAAACCAGTTCTAAACCTCTCCTCGGGGTGAGAAAAACCACCCCTTTCAGATGCTAATCACGTGGATTGTAAGCGAATTGTCCCTTGGACTGAAGCAGTGTTTACGGAGGGGCCAGAGTCAGGAGAGAGTGATCCTCAAAATGTAGCTTTTAAAAATATCCAGAGGAACCTCATCGAGAAACAATTGCTGCCTACAGGAAATTTGAGAAGGCATGTTCTACTTTTTCTATTCCATTTATATATTGACATTTTAGAGATTTTGTTTCTTGTAGAGGCATCTAGCGCTACAGCCTTTATCCACATGTGGAGTACATTCATTTTACCAGGAATTTTAAACTTTCTGAGCTCTTGAGTTATGTAACTTTACCAGAGAGGAGTGGACATCAGCTGGGCCATTCAATAAAGTGTGCCTTGTCGGGAAGTCAAAGTGAATTTTACATTTTAGGCCAAAACCGCTGATTTGGAAAAATATCACAGTCGGATATAGTTTCAGTTCAACTTAAAATGTGCTATTTACTTTGAGTTCCCAGCAACACATAATTTATATATAGAGAGAGGATTGATGCATTGCAGTTAGTTTTTGCTAGATGTTTTAGATATTTGCAATTACTTTGGTATGTTGCACACTTACAGCTTAATAGATAGCGTGACTGTCTCCTCTCGCAGTATGACTGCCGTTTCTGTGACCTTCGCTCCACTGTGACGGACTGTCTCTCTTCACAGGGGAACTGTCTCTCTTGGTGGGGACTCTGTGTGTTCTCGCTGGGTGGTCTCACAGGACTAGCTTCCTTGCTCTCTGAGAGTTTATTCCTGAAATGTTAAACACAACCTCAGTCAGTCTCCAGCCAGTGCAGAGGACTGTTAGTATTGGGGGGGCTGAGAATGTACGCTTTGTTCAAACAATCGAAGGGCAAAGCGTTGAAAATTCTTTAAAATGAACAAACAAAAAGCCATTGAAATGTACACTAGGAACATGGTAAAAAATACAAATCTTTTCTGAACACAAACTTTAAAGACAAATGTTTATAAGTAGTTATTTTTGTATAGTCCTTAAGTGATACATTCTTTTTTACTAGAGGGTATTTGAAACTTATTTTAATAGTTTTACTTTTTTTTTACATTTTGTTTTCACTGATTTAATAGATAACTTTATGTATTAATATTCAAAATGCCTCAAAACAAACAGAAGTTGAGCAGTTTTGTACAGCAAACAGAATCTGTTCCATTTGTGAGATTTTTAGAAGACAAATACCGGGATAGTAAAAGGGCATTTGATATGTTCTGTGGATTAGATTGCCAGTTCACCTAAACAAGCCTGCAACATAAAATGTAAAAAAAAGCAAAGTATCTACCCTTAATAATAATTATAGAAGCCATTGGCAGCCTCTGTGTGCCCTTGATCTGAGACTCTCCAGGGATTGTCTGATTACCTGGACCTTAATCATTGACTAACCGGGGATTCCTTGCCTACGCGTGTACTGGTCTTTCAGACCCATGGATTTCTGTCTCACTTGAATCTTAGTCTGTGCTTATCTGTCCAGAGACCCCTTGCCTACTTGAACCTTCATCTGTTATGCTCGACCTACCTGAGCCAAGAGTTATCTGTGTCCACTACAGCCGGCTGCAGAAGGCTTGTTACCCCAGCACTGTTACATCTCCTCTCTCTTCTACCAGATTTACCTGCAGATACAAAAACAAGCTATGGGCATAGATACTAATTGGGTAAAGCAATGCTTTTTACATATTAATTTCAAGAGGTTTCATAGTGTTCATGTAACTAAAGTTTCTCTTGGTGACTATGAAATTCTAAATATTGGTGCCCTAGGAATGACACCACATTGCCCATATGTTATTGCCTGAACTTGCACATACCTTCTTGACTTGCTGAGGCCCCTCGTTCTCTCAAGGTGATCTTGGCGGAAAGCGATTTGCCGAGTCTGGCAGTAAAGTTGTTCCTTCTCTGCGTGAGTTGCAGTTTGCTGATAAGCTCCGAGGCTGAGAACCTCCACCGTTCTTGATCTGTCTTCCCTGGAGATGCGGCAACCTCTAGGACTTCTGGCTCCAACTTGACTTCAGTCACTGCACAGCCCGCGTCTTCAGGCTCTGAAAACACAGAGTCATCGTCCATCGAAGGAGTAGATGGGCTGCTGCCTAAAGTGGCATCCGGGAGATAGAGGCGGATTTTACGCCCTGAGAAATTCGAACATTGAATCAGTTACCCCTTCAGCTATCTTTGCCATCAAAATTGTAATATCTAATTAGTACCTCTTGGCACACTTAACCCAATTACAGCTCGAATACCAAGATATCCTCTAACTTGCCAGCATTCACAAAATTCATATATATGTTATATATGCATTTTTATATATTTTCAAAAATTTGAAACAATTCCTAAACAAATGAAAAATATATCAAAGTAATATTTTATTTTTTTTTATCAACTGAGGGTACGCAGTTACATTGCGCTTCGACTATTAGCACTTCCTGGACAGAACACGGTTCTTTGACACCCCAGGTAATGGAAAAAGACAGATGATTTCCAAAAAAAGTTTCTGTGAATTCTGTACAGCATAGGCACCAAAAAGCCAGTGGCAGCATGTCCCCCTCCTCTGTGCCACCAATGTCCTCCTCTCAGCCTGCCCTCCCTGGCAGGCAGAGGAAATTCTGGCTGAGGTAAAACTGAACCAACTGAACCAGCAGAGCAAGGGCTACCCTAACCAAAAACATTTTTTATGAACCCATTATTGAGTATGGCCACAAATGTCCAATGGAGGGGGCTTGCCAGTGGCACATTGAACATCATTCAGGAGGTGGAAAAGCGGTACCAAACAGGGCACGCTAGACCTTCATGAAGGTACCACAATCTAACTTGCAAGCATGCTGGCCAGCCCCCCTAAGTATAGATTGGGCACAGAGTCCAGTGGAAGTCAGTTATTGACACACTTGCCCTTCTACCTGGGGAGAGGGGGATTTTCTTTCTCCAGTATCCTTAGAAAGCAGGATATGAGGGTACAGACTTAGATGGCAGAACAAGGGCCCAACATTGTGATTGTCTCCAATTCCAAGACTTTTGAATGGTATGTGGGCACAAATACTAAAATAGAAACTGTTATCAGTAGTAGTGTACAGATGGGTTAATCTGATGACATATAGTATCAAGCCTTAAATGGTACAACTTACAGCAGCAGAAGAGTGTGGTGGATTCATTCCTGTCTGCTAAGAATAGGATGATAACATTACATAGGGAATTCCATCTACAAAACTGGGCTACTGAATATCGATGCCTGGTTTGACCGCTACGGTCAGACATTGTATCACATAGATTAGCCTGTTTTTGCCTATTGTGTATTTTACTGCAGTATGAAACTCTGCATTTTGGAACTCTGCCTGTCTTCGTGCAGAGGGTGGAGACACTGAATGTTAGTCACACTGTGCAGCACTTCCCCAGGAAGCACCTCAAGCAGCCATCTGAGGAGTGACCAATGGAGGTGTCACTAGGCTGTAATGTAAACACTGCATTTTCTCTACAAATACAGTGTTTACTGCAAAAAGCCTGAATGGAATAATTTTACTCTCCAGAAGAAATACAATAAGCTGTAGTTGTTCTGGTGACTATAGTGTCCCTTTAAGTTGAAGCTTTGCTTTCTCCCTAATGTGAAGAGAGAATGAACCCTCCTAAGGGGATCCAAATAAAAAATTTGGGGAACCAAAATGGAAAACAAAATTCATTGTAGCCATGGTTATACAAAGTTGTATACCGCCTTCCCATGTTTTATAACATGTAATATGTTCTGTTGAATGTGGTTTAATTCCTAAATCACATGGGGAAGTGTAGGGAACCTAGCAATGTTACTCCCAAGTCCTTTCTTTCAGCAGACATCTGTGACAATTGTCCAGTCTATAACCTCCCCCAGAGATTGGACACTTACAAGCAGACTTTGCTCTCTCTGATCCTTGGGATGACCTGCTGATGAGTCGAGGGCTCTCATTAAGAGGAGACGATGAGGAATTGTGAGTTTGTTCTCCATCACTCTGTGCCCGGCTCCTCCACCTCCTGTCCTCTTTAGGGAAGGGCTCTGGTGAGGGCTCCCCAACACTTGCTGTTGGAGAGGTTTCCTGAATCCTAGTATCCTTATTGTTCTCGAACCTCATGTGCCAGGGCTCCTGTATCTGCCCAGTAACTCCTGGGATAACGGTGTTCAGGGGCAGCGGTGTAGTCCTATATCCTAGCTGGCTCTCCGCACACAAAGTGGGAACTCCCCCAAATGCCAAGCTCTCCTGCTGATACACGGCAATGTGCCTCACTACCCTGTGCCTCTCTACAGGGGCAGGGTTTCCAAGACTTGGTGCCATGCTGCCCTCCCGGCTATAGGGCAATGGGGTGCGGTGAAGCTGGAAGTCTGGTAGAGGCTGGTATTCCATGATGAGGGTGTTAGGGAGACCAGGCCTGCAAAACCATATAAAAGACATATTAAATCCATCCCAAGCTGGGTAGCATCACATCTCACTTTTGGATTGAATACAAACAGGATTATTCACCAAAGTGAAAAGTCAAGCCAAAATAGCCAAATTCGAAACATTCCCTAAGTAAATTATATTTTCAATTGCTTTGAATTTGGGGCAATTCTCACTTTAGTGAATAACCTGTAAATCTGACAAAAAATAAATTCAGAAGCTTATATTTTTCATCTTCTGCATAACGTAATAAGGATCTCTCTCTCTCTCTCTATCAGATAAGTTTCTCACTTTCCAGCCAATCTCCCCCCAAAAAACAAGTTGCTATCAATCAGTATAAATGGTAAAGCCAATCAGATGTTGTGTTAATATATTTATTACATTTAGCACTGCTCCGAGTATAAGCTGAAAGAGCAATATTCTGCAGCTACAGTAACAAATTACAACAAGAAATAAAAAGTAGAAAGAATTTTATATCAATATGAGTCCAGTCAAAGATGTGGGGTGTCCACCAAGTGCTCTTTCTTTAGCTTTTAGTTATTTATCCTTGGTTACATGTAAAAAAGATAGAAACACACAAAAAAGCTATGGTGTAGTATTTCTCTGTAAATGAGGACACACAACACTTAGTGCTATAGTGCTCACTGACATAAAGCACTGGACATGGACATGGTGCTCTACTAACTTTTATCAGAGCAGTTAGAGCACTCTGTAATGCCAACATAGGTGGTATAATCCCCCCCCACCATGGATAGATGTCCAAAATCCACTAGGTGGTACTTCGCTAGGCATGTCAGGGATGAAGATAAAATAACAATATATAAAAATTACAATAAAAGTATCTAGATAAAACCACAGAGACTTTATTGGTATAACAGAAAAGCAACAAATTTAAATAATCCGCAACACTTTTAGCCTATTCTAAGGCTTTAACAAGTGTATTACAGATTGCAATTTATTTATTTTTTAAAAATCCTTTTTTTTTTTTTTTAAATAGTGTTTTACCCTTTTCCCACAGTTAGCCCTTAACAAAGATGGCCGCCATGGTCAGCTAGTAACCTGCTATTCTATTTTCGCTCATACATTAAAATTAACCTTTCTATGCTGTTTTATACACCCCTTTTTGCAACTTGGAACAATCGTAATCTTCTGTTTTCTCCTTATTTTATTATATTCCGTTGGAGCACTCCATTTCCTTGCATTCTGTCCTTATACAATATGGCCACCAAAAGTCTTCGGGTGACATATTGCCTCGTTGTGGCCTTCTGACATCGGAGGGGCTATGGTATTGTACTGTTCCCTCTTTTTCCACAGTTTGCACATATCCAATATGGCTGCCATAGGCCGCCAGGCGAACTATTGCCTTGTTGAAGCCACCTAACATGGGAGTGGTTCTTACATTGTCTGTATACTTCTGCCTTGGTAGCTGCAAATAGTCACGAGCCCTTACAGACTTCCAACAACAACAATATTAACACCCTTCATACACTGCCGACATCGATTTGAGTCACCTGATGTGTAGATTTGTTCTGAGTCACATGACCTCTAGATTTAATATTTCTGCGGCTACCATTGTTTTTATTTGACTGCTATATATAAATGCATGTTACTCAATATTTAATTATATTTGCACATTTAGTTTCTATTGTCAGGATTACTACTGGATCCAGCATGTAGAATTGTGTCACACAGAAGACTAATAGGTAACGTATTACCGGGCCTTAGAATGGCCGGACTAACGTACCAAAGAATAGTCAGGATACTAGCCGAGGTCAGGGGACACAGAAAGGGACACAACGATAAAGGAAAGCCAGAGGTCAGGGATACCAGAATACAGGGAAGTCAAAATCAAAGCCAAAGTCAAAAACCAGAATATAACCGTTCATAACCGTTCAAAACGTGTGGAAACCACGACAGGGCAATGAGGAAAGGTAGTTTTGAGTTTAAATACATTCTTTACCTTTCTGATTGGCCTAGATCAATCTTTGACCCCAAAATGTGTGGGCACGGCGCCGCGTGACATCACCACGTCAATGTCATCAACCACGTGGTGGACGTGGGGGTATAATTTGCCGTGGATCTGCAGCGGCCGGCGTCCATTAGTCATGCAGACGCACGCCTGCTGGTTGCAGAGACCGCAAGGTGAGAGAAAGTATGTAACATCTATCCACATGGTCATGTGAACATGGCGTTATTTTTGTTTTACATTGCAGCACTAAGTGCAAAAGTGAAACAGCATACAGACCACGTCAATAGGCTGAAGTTGTCTGGGTGCCTACAATGTCCCTTTAAGATGATAGCTCCTCTCTTGTCAGTGCTCTACGTTTTATTTATTACCACTCATTTCGTATTGACAATACTGCACTTCTGGATTTATTTTTCCTGTTATAACATATTCGTCATGGATAATCACACCCGGCATCTTTACCCATCGGTGGGATTTATACCACTACACACTACTGCGACTGGGACTTGTTTAAAGCTCCATATTATGTGAGTGGGAATTTTTCACCTAAGTGTTGTGTGTCCTCACTTACAGAGAAATACTACACCAGGTTTTTTGTGTGTTTCTTTCTCTTTTACATGTAACCACTGATAAATAATTAAAAGTTAAAGAAAGCAAGGTCACTTGGTGGATACCCCAAATCTTGGTCTGTGTCCCTGGACTCTTTCATATTAATAAAATATTCTTTCTGTTAGTAGGCACATCGTGTTTTTTTTTTTTTTTTCTTGCTGTAATTTGGTTTCTATTTTTCAAGGGATTGAAGGAATCCCTTGTGTTCACTGTTTGCTGCCAAAAGTAATCTGCTGGCCTGGTTGAATTATTAGCACTTGTCAGTCTTTGTGTGTACAGTAACAGAAAAGTGAGAGAGCAATACTCTGCAGAAACTGTCAAGTAAAAGAACAACGCTCTGCAGACAGAGCAATTAGGCAAGTTTCGGGTTAGAGGCTAATGTTCTGCAAGCCCAGTAACAGTATCAGGTAGACTAATACTCTGCAGAAACCATAATGTGGTATCAGGTGAGAGCAATATTCTGCAGAATCAATATCAGGTTGGGGTACAGGCAGAGTGCTTTGCAGGTCCAGTTACAGGAAGCAATGCTCTGCAGTACTGTGAGTATTGGGTGAGGTAGCAGTGCTGTCTGGATGCAGTGATACAGTGTTGGGGTACAGGCGCAGTGCTTTGCAGGTCCAGTTACAGGAAGCAGTGCTCTCTGCAGTACTGTAAGTATTGGGTGAGGTAGCAGTGCTCCCTGGATGCAGTGATACAGTGTTGGGGTACAGGCGCAGTGCTTTGCAGGTCCAGTTACAGGAAGCAATGCTCTCTGCAGTACTGTGAGTATTGGGTGAGGTAGCAGTGCTGTCTGGATGCAGTGATACAGTGTTGGGGTACAGGTGCAGTGCTTTGCAGGTCCAGTTACAGGAAGCAATGCTCTCTGCAGTACTGTAAGTATTGGGTGAGGTAGCAGTGCTGTCTGGATGCAGTGATACAGTGTTGGGGTACAGGCGCAGTGCTTTGCAGGTCCAGTTACAGGAAGCAGTGCTCTCTGCAGTACTGTGAGTATTGGGTGAGGTAGCAGTGCTGTCTGGATGCAGTGATACAGTGTTGGGGTACAGGCGCAGTGCTTTGCAGGTCCAGTTACAGGAAGCAATGCTCTCTGCAGTACTGTAAGTATTGGGTGAGGTAGCAGTGCTCTCTGGATGCAGTGATACAGTGTTGGGGTACAGGCGCAGTGCTTTGCAGGTCCAGTTACAGGAAGCAATGCTCTCTGCAGTACTGTAAGTATTGGGTGAGGTAGCAGTGCTGTCTGGATGCAGTGATACAGTGTTGGGGTACAGGCGCAGTGCTTTGCAGGTCCAGTTACAGGAAGCAATGCTCTGCAGTACTGTGAGTATTGGGTGAGGTAGCAGTGCTGTCTGGATGCAGTGATACAGTGTTGGGGTACAGGCGCAGTGCTTTGCAGGTCCAGTTACAGGAAGCAGTGCTCTCTGCAGTACTGTAAGTATTGGGTGAGGTAGCAGTGCTGTCTGGATGCAGTGATACAGTGTTGGGGTACAGGCGCAGTGCTTTGCAGGTCCAGTTACAGGAAGCAGTGCTCTCTGCAGTACTGTGAGTATTGGGTGAGGTAGCAGTGCTGTCTGGATGCAGTGATACAGTGTTGGGGTACAGGTGCAGTGCTTTGCAGGTCCAGTTACAGGAAGCAATGCTCTCTGCAGTACTGTAAGTATTGGGTGAGGTAGCAGTGCTGTCTGGATGCAGTGATACAGTGTTGGGGTACAGGCGCAGTGCTTTGCAGGTCCAGTTACAGGAAGCAGTGCTCTCTGCAGTACTGTGAGTATTGGGTGAGGTAGCAGTGCTGTTTGGATGCAGTGATACAGTGTTGGGGTACAGGCGCAGTGCTTTGCAGGTCCAGTTACATTGTGCTGTACGAGGAAGCAATGCTTTGCAGACAGAAATAGACTGTCGGTTGATGGAGAAATGCTCTGCACTGTCTCCCAGATGCGTGTTTATTGAAATATAAACCGAGTGGGGTTTTTTTTACAGCTTCAAACAGCCAGAGACCTTTAGTTTTAAATTAAATAAGATTCCATTTGAGGAATAGAAGATTTTCAGATGCTTTTTGCTGTCTGAGCCTGTATGGCCTGCAGGGAGAAGCGTCTTAGCACTGCAGCATCCCCAGTCACAGACAGAACGCTCTTAAAGGGACAGTAAGTAAAATATTGACAGGTTTATTGTACACTTGAAAAACACAAGTGGATGGCTATGAGACTACAACATTCCCAAAGGGAGATATTACTTCAATACTGCTCTATGAGGGGATCTTTACAAATTCAACTGTTTTTGTGAATACAGGAAGTACACTTATTTTGCATGTTCTCTGGTGACTCTAGGTGCCACAATTTAATTAAACCAGAAGCAGATGGAAATTTCACATTGAGACCCAAGATGTAGACTATGTACCTGTTTTGTAAAAAAAAATATAAAAAAAAATTCTGTCAACCCCTGCAGGGTTAATCACTAAAAGTGAAAATTCAAAGTGAATTTCAAATTTAAAGTCAAAATAGCCAAAAGTGAAAATTTCTTCGTCAGCTACTCTGGCCTTAACTTTGAATTCTTACTTTAGTAAAAAAAAAAAAAAAAACTACTAGTGTACTTAATAGCTCGTTAATGTAGCTTTATACTGGTGTTACTATGGCAACATACTTCTGAATAAAGGAACAGCATTTCAGGTGTTCATTAAAGAGAAGCTCTACTATTCTGGCAGGGTATCCATGACCTATTAACCCAAGTATTTGGTAGGCTGATCGATCTTGATCCCTGGGTACATCTTCAAGCTCGACCTGTAGAGGGCCTGCCAGCCAGATCCCAGAAATCAATGAATAGAATAACACTAGCAGCTAGGCGGACCCCAGCAGCCAAGTGGCTGAGCAGCACAACCCCCAGCTTGGCAAAAGTCAAACACAGGATAAAAGACAACTATCTCATGCACAAACTTACATCCATAGTAAAAAGGTCCAGGCAATTTTTTGAAAAGGTGTGGTCTCCATGGCGGAATGGGAGGGATAGTGGGACTGGGAAAGTGAATGACGGGTCGGATTGTATGGAGGTATGTCATATGGTGGTGGGTCTCTTTTTTCTTTCCTTTTATCTTGCACATAATTAAATAACTGGGTTATTTTTACTTTTTATTTGTTGTTCCAAGGAGTTTAATTTCAGATTATCTACCTTTTCACTTTAGCGGTGGGGAGGAGGAGGATGGGGGGGGAGGAGAAATAGCAGCTCACTGCCTCAACTGTTACTGCCCTGTCTGACATCCCAGGAGACACTTTCTATAACTTTAAAGGAACACTATAGGGTCAGGAACACAAACGTATTCCTGACCCTATAGGGTTAAAACCACCATCTAGCCACCCTGGTCCCCTCATGCCTCCCTAAATATAGTAAAATCTTACTTGTATCCATGCCTGGAGCTGCTTACTTTGTCCCCGTTTCCTTTTCACCTGCCCACTGCCTGCTGACATCATCAGAAGTGGTAGCCTGATCCAATCACAATGCTTCCCCATAGGATTGGCTGAGACTGACAAGGAGGCAGATCAGGGGCAGAGCCAGCACAATTCAAACACAGCCCTGGCCAATCAGTATCTCCTCATAGAGATGAATTGAATCAATGAATCTCTATGAGGAAAGTTCAGTGTCTGCATGCAGAAGGAGGAGACACTGAATGTTTGGATGCATTTTAGGCAGCCATGACCCAGGAAGGATCTCTAACAGCCATCTGAGGAGTAGCCAGTGAAGTTATCACTAGGCTGTAATGTAAACACTGCATTTTCTCTGAAAAGACAGTGTTTACAGCAAAAAGCCCGAAGGTACTGATTCTACTCACCAGAACAAATGCAATAAGCTGTAGTTGTTCTGGTGACTATAGTGTCCCTTTAAGTTATATATAAAGACTGGGTCATTTTTTTTAGACATATGGCTTTCTGAATGCCATTAATAGAGGATAGGAAGGCTAATGAGTTGATCTGCGTATATTGGGCCATTTTAATGTTTTTTTGCCCGTATGAAATGTCCACTTGAATACATCTTCGAATGTGTTACCTTTAATGTTATGATTTGGCTTTTTTTGTTTAGTTTTTTTACTGTTACATTATTGTAAAATGTGTGCTATATGTGATGTGCAGTATATGTGTGTGATGCAGTGCTTTGTTGGTGCTTGTCCTAACTCCATTGCAGAAAAAGAAAATAGTGAATATTTGTCATATAAAACCAACATTCTGTATTTGATTATGCATTTCTTCTTAAAAAAATAAACTGTCTGCAAAAACTACAGATCTCCTGTCTGCAGCATTTGCAAGCCCTCCCTTTCTATCCCCGCCCAGACTTTCAGTCTCTGTCCAATCTTAGACCCCCCCCAAAGCAGCTCAATGAGAAGTCTTTGTAAGTCAGGTGCTCTGAGCAATTTCTGCCTCAAAATCAAAAACACAGGACACACTCTTCACATATAAAGCATTTCAGAATGCCAGGGTGCTCTAGGTGTTTGGAGGGTTCATTGATTCCAAACCCTTTGCTAGAAGCTGATTTGTCAGTTTGAGATGTGTTGGGAAAAGGCTCAGAAAAACCCAGGGTATGAGAAATGGGTGTACGAGGGTGTAGGCAGCGACTTGGGGTAAATGAATAGGTTCCCTGTAAAGATGGCTTTAGAAATACTATAACTGCCGGGCTCAGTGACCCTGAGTCAGTTTGTCGCAGCGTCACACAGCGCATGCTCTTGACAAGTATCCAGAAGCAACTCCGCTTATGGGGGCTTAGATGGACCACGATACTGCTCCTAATCCATAAAAAAAAGACTATCCAAATACTCAGCCACTCAGTGTAGAACTAAACCAGTATTGTTTTGTGATATTTGTTCTAAACTGGAATTCAGAGAGGATTTTAAATTTAAGACCAAAGTAGCTGAACTGGAAGCATGGCTGACTTGGAGCGTGTTTCCCATATTTTCTCATTAATTGGAAAATCCCTTTGAAATCTCACTTTAAATAACTCTGTGGGTTTGGGCTCCAAAAGTTAGTTGCCGTGTTATTTTACGTGGGTAAGTCAGCTACTCACAGTAACCAGGTTATTCACAAGTTTTTCAAGTTTCACTATAGTGGCTGAAAATTTGAAATACAGAATTTCTCACAATTCACTGTAGTGAATAACCTTTCATATCGTTTAATGTAATGAACGTAGCCAACTACTTTCCACAGTGCTATGGATCCCCTACATCCCCCCTGGCACAATAAGAAATACAAATATAAAAAATGTGGGCAACCTCTGATAAATGTAACTATATAAAATACAATAATTTATGGCATCGCTGTGACTTTAGAGCAATCAGTGAAATGTGAACAGGCTAGTCTTACAGCAATAAATGTATTTTTAGAGTCCTGGCATCTGTGTAAGCTACAGCCAAAAATATAAAGAGGGCAGACATTCACAGATAATGGACCAGCCAAGAATACAATAATAACAATCCCAGGGATACCACGAGGGCATGTAATCACTGATAACGGTACAGCCAGGGATAACACGAGGGCATGTAATCACTGATAACGGTACAGCCAGGGATAACACGAGGGTATGTAATCACTAATAACGGTACAGCCAGGGATAACACGAGGGCATGTAATCACTGATAACGGTACAGCCAGGGATAACACGAGTTCATGTAATCACTGATAACGATACAGCCAGGGATACCACGAGGGCATGTAATCACTGATAACGGTACAGCCAGGGATAACACGAGTTCATGTAATCACTGATAACGATACAGCCAGGGATACCACGAGGGCATGTTATCACTGATAACGGTACAGCCAGGGATAACACGAGGGCATGTAATCACTAATAACAGTACAGCCAGGGATAACACGAGGGCATGTAATCACTGATAACGGTACAGCCAGGGATAACACGAGTTCATGTAATCACTGATAACGATACAGCCAGGGATAACACGAGTTCATGTAATCACTGATAACGATACAGCCAGGGATACCACGAGGGCATGTAATCACTGATAACGGTACAGCCAGGGATAACACGAGGGCATGTAAACACTGATAACGGTACAGCCAGGGATACCACGAGGGCATGTAATCACTGATAACGGTACAGCCAGGGATAACACGAGGGCATGTAATCACTGATAACGGTACAGCCAGGGATACCACGAGGGCATGTAATCACTGATAATGGTACAGCCATGGATATTACGAGGGCAATCACTGATAATGGTACAGCCAGGGATACCACGAGGGCATATAATCACTAATAACGGTACAGTCAGGGATACCACAAGAACATATAATCACTGATAACGGTACAGTCAGGGATACCTGAGGGTATAAAATCACTGATAACGGTACAGTCAGGGATACCACGAGGGCGTATAATCACTGATAACGGTACAGTCAGGGATAGTCCAGTGAGTGTGATATTGACAGTGCGTAAAGGAATGAAACCAATGGGTCAATACAGAACTGTATACATATAATATCTCTCTGTACACAGCTTGCTTTCCATAAACTGCGGTTTTATATCCTGGGGGACAGTGTGCTGTGTTGTGCAGACAAAACAGGTTTATAAAAAGCTGAAGCCAATATGGCGGGACATAGGTTCTTGATTTAAACATCCTTAGGATGAGCTGTGTTTGTCTTCAGGGGAACACTTTGACTCTGTAAACCCCCCGCCTTCCTTGCTCCTTTTTAGATTTTACTTTTTTGATCTATTGGGTCTTTCCTTCTGCAACCCTAACCCTATCTAGACATTTACATAAAGGCCTTTCGATAGAACTTTTAAATGAAATATATATTTCACATTTACATTTAGACAGTGAGGCCATTTATAAAGAACAAATCTGGGGTAAAGTTCTGAAAAGAAGAACAATCAGCAAGAACATTCCATTGGTTTCCATGGCGATGCCCCACGTATTGAACAGCTCCTTTTACAGAACCTTCAGGATGTGTAATATTCTTAGTAAAATGCCTGCTACTTTCTATAATAAAAGAGTGCAGTATCAGTAAAGATTAATCAGACATGTCAACCGTCTTAACATGCTATAAAAATTAAATGTAATATTTGTTTTAGGTTTCATGATCACTGTTTGTACCAAATCTAGGAGGTCATTCACAAAACAACCGAAACTAAAATATGTTCCAATTTGACTATTTTTGGCAAAGTGTTTCTTAAAGTTGATTGTCAAACTCCCACAAACGCCTTCATTATTAATTGAATTCATTAACCCCTTCAACACCCAAATTGTGTATTATTTTCATGCAGTATGAAATGTAATACATAAAGCCCCACTCCCCCTTATTTATACTCCAAAAATGCTAACCAGCATGTAGAGGAATTCATTTCTCTGCTAGAAGCACTAATGTAATGCCTGTAAATCTACTGAAAATTTCTGCTCACCCACTGCTTTCAAACAATACAGGAAGTTTCAATAGGTTATATAATTTCTACAGTCAGGGATGGGGGAGGGATGAATGGCCTCTACCAATTCACTGTCAGCACTACATTAGTAGTCCAGAGGTGTCAGGGAAGCAAACATAAGGAAAACAGTAAAGGTACATGTACCGGTCCTTAGAGTGGCCAGGTTAGTGCCTGAGACAGAATAAACAAGAGACCAGCAGAGGTCAGGATTACAGAAATTACACGCAATCCATAGCCAGGCCAAGATCAGGATAACAGAGATCAAGAACAGTCAAACAAGCCGATGTCAGAAAACAGGAAATCCAATACACTGTAAAAACACACTGTGACATAACAAAAACCACGACAGGGCAGGGAAACAAGGACAACCAGGAAGTATATATACCCTATACTGGGTAGTAATTGTGATGTCAAAAGTGTGTATACATCAAAAAGCGACACATGGGCTGACGCTATAAAAGGAGATTAATGGGATGGGGTCCAAATCATATATGATGTCATAATGAGGCACCAGGAAGCTAGGGATGAGTGTGTGTGAACTGGTGACAAGAGGTTAATAAAGTTTGTTATAGCAGTTTTGTATACCTTTATTTCAGAAATATGTTATCTAACTATTAAAGAGAGAAAGAAAGAGGAAAGTCTGTCCTACAAAATGTAAATACAACTATGTAAATACGAGAAAAAGCAGTTAAAATGATTTACTTTATTTCACAAAACAAAATGGGAAGGGAAGGAAGAAGAGACAAGAAAACCTACATTTACAAATAAGAATTACCTAAAGAGGTAAATTCTTTGCACAGCGATGGCCGATGCAACAGTGTATCAAAAGAGATATCTGAGACTCTATAATGTAACTATAGATTTGTTACATGAGAATCAGATAATATTTGGCAACGGTATATCAGCGGTGCATAAAAGAAATACAACAGTATACTCAAAAACATCAAAATAGAACTATTAACCTCTATAGTCCGCCATATATTGAGACTATGAGAACAGTATACTAGCAATTAAGAGACTTGCAATTCAATCCCTCCCATTGTCAGTCCTCAGAGTATAAATAAGGGCTGGCAGGGCTTGTTGAAAGAGATAAAATTGATCATTGAGAAAAAATTGAACTGCAAGCTCACTTAAACAGGTGATAATATACTCAAAACATATGATAATGGATATGAAATCTATGCGGCAAAAAGAATGCTAGCGATAAGATCCTACGATCATAGCATGGGTGATCCCCCACAGAGTGGAACTATGGGAGTCACCAAAGAATTGCCTGAAGATTTAGTGTATATCACTTAACTACTGTCTAAACTGAGATTCCAAATGCGGACAAGCCGATCAGGCTGATAATATTTTAATAAATAATACGTGAAAAAATCACAAAAAATACAAACAAGCCGATCAGGCTGATAGTATGTGGCTTAATAGTACATAAAGATACACAAAAAATAAACGATCTATGAGTTCTTCTAATGTCATTCAATGCCAGGAACTAAGCATTCCAGTATCAAGCCCCATGAGTATAATCAATTACAGTAACCTTGATGGAGCTAGAGACAGAAGAAAAAAATAGGTAGAATGGTTCCTTCGTGGGCACCTGGTATAGTAAAGAGATATGTAGAGTAGATTAGATAGAGTAACTGTATATACAATCTGATAATAACAACGGTCCTACAAGTTTACTCGTATTAAGTGGATACCCTGATCGATAACTAAGTAACCGTTCAACTGAGGCGGCTATCAGCCGTCTTAATTACAGGTTCCGGACAGATCATTTAATGATGCCGGCAAAAAGTGTAATAACCGGTGAAAGGACAGAGAAAGGATGCCTCAGGGACAGAGATTTTAACTGAGGAGAACGGGTAAGTATCAAACCCACAGTCCTGCAAATTTCCTCATAGTTAATGGATACCCTGATCGGTAACCAAATTCTCATTCAACTGAGGCGGCTATCAGCCGTCTAAATTATAAAAGTCCCAGACCGGCAGTTTGATAGTGCCAGCCAAGAGTGTAATAACCGGGAGAGGGACAAAAGAGAAAAGAATAATGCCTCAGGAACGGAGATTTAACAGAAAGAGATCGGGTAGGTGTCAGACCCGACGCGCGTTTCGCCTGGATTAGAGGCTCATCAGGAGGAAACGGCTTCCCAATTTAGTAAAGTTTAAATAGCCCGCTCTCGAAATTCATTGGTCAGCTGGATAATGAGGGGGAGGTGCAAACATACGGTAGCCGAGAGTGCTCAAAAGAGTATTGTCAATCTCTTAGATTATAGATATTATATACATCTCTCAGATCAAAAAAATATAATAAATTAAAATATATATTTAACTCTTAAACTAAAAATACCAGATGACAGGGGTATTATGGATAGAAATCTATCAACAGTGTAATGTAAGAGAGTAATAAATGTTTATAACACAATGTGATGAAAACACTTAATTATGTCCAGAAGGAAACCAATAGATACCACTAATAAATGATGGATAAATAGAAAAAATTACTTACAAAAAATTACAAGAGGAATTTCGGTGGAAAGAATCACTATGCTTATGAAACCACTGTAACAATATGACATGAATTTATAACCTTTCAAAACCTGATAGAGAAGAAGATCAAATCTAAAAGAGTTTTATATAATGCTAAAATTCATTTTCCATGTCCTAATTTCCTACTACAGATGAAGACTGCCTTATGTAAGTGAAACAAGAGATATGTAATATTACTATGATCTGGTATTCAAAGTGTTTATATATAACAAGAGATTCATAATGACTCAAGTAGTAAGAGAAAGAAAAGGTTATTATTGTTATACAGCGGTTAAAAAATTAGTCCAGTTATGGCAAATTATTAGTGTATAAACGGTGTATCATTAAATTCCTCATTTAGCCCCAAAGGAGCCAATGTCTTAAAGGAAAATATCCATTGAGATTCCTTACGTAACAGAACTTTGTTGAAATCACCCTTTCTAGGGTTGGCAAGTAATTTTTCAATAGCTTGGAATCTTAGATTCTCAGGTTTGCCATCATGAAAATACTGATTGTGTCTTGCCACCGAAATGGGTGTAACTATATTCTTAATAGACGTTATGTGCTGTAAAATTCTACGTCTGAACTGCTGAAAGGTTTTACCTATATACTGGATTCCGCAGCTGCATGTAATCAAATAGATTATTCTTGTAGTACTGCAGTTCACCAGGGCGTTTGTATCAATGCTGATGTGAGTAATGCTTGCAGGGTCCTTGCAAATTCATATAAACAAGGTAATTGATCACTTATTTCTATTATTATTTATTTATTTTTGTCACATAAACAGACACCGTATACTGTCTAAAGTTGTTCATTTCCCAAATATTTTTTGAAGGATGAAAGAATAAGTGAAAAACAAAAAATTGTGTAAATTTACATAATTTAAATAGACATTATATTCACAAGTATTAAGGCAGTTTTGCCTGTATTTGTGGGAGGGGCTTAAATTAATTCACTCCCCTATATAAGGGACACCCCTTACCTGACTCATATCGCTTGAGGTCAGCATCAGAATGATTTCCACTTCCGGGTCATCCAGACGCCATTTTACCTGATTACTCCATGAGGTTTTCTAAGCTGAGCTGTGTCAGGAATCCAGCCACAGGCTTTTCCGGCCTACCACCTTCTTTCTTCAATCTATCGCTGTGGATGGTGTCCAAGTGACTCACAAACCGTAAGTTGACCTACCCATTACGCCAGGCATCAGTCCCACGGCACCATGCAAGGGTCAGGTCCTCACTTTACTGCTGCATTTTGTCTAAGTCTGTTCTAAAACCATTGCATGTTCATGCATATCATTCGTTTAAACCCCCTACTGGTCTTTGGGTGTACTATAGACTTCTTAGACATTATCGCATTTCATGTACAAACCAACGAACCAATGCATCTTTGCCTACACACTGACCCCTACCGGTCATTCGGTGTACTACAGGCTTCTCAGACATTATTGCATTTCATGTACAAACCAACGAACCACCGCATTTTTCACCTACACACTGACCCCTATTGGTCATTCGGTGTACTACAGGCTTCTTAGGCGTTGTTTGCATTTTCATGTACAAACCAATAAACCACTGCATTTACACCTACACACTGACCCCTACTGGTCTTTCGGTGGACTACAGGCTTCTTAGACATTATCGCATTTCATGTACAAATCAACGAACCACTGCATTTGCGCCTACACACTGACCCCTACCGGTCATTCTGTGTACTACAGGCTTCTCCGACATTATTGCATTTCAGGTACAAACCAACAAACCACTTCATTTTTCACCTACACACTGACCCCTATCAGTCATTCGGTGTACTACAGGCTTCTTAGACATTATTGCTTTTCATGTACAAAACAATAAACCACTGCATTTTCACCTACACACTGACACCTACCAGTCATTCTGTGTACTACAGGCTTCTCAGACATTATTGCATTTTATGTACAAACCAACAAACCACTGCATTTTTCACCTACATACTGACCCCTATCAGTCATTCGGTGTACTACAGGCTTCTTAGACATTATTGCTTTTCGTGTACAAAACAATAAACCACTGCATTTTTACCTACACACTTACACCTACCGGTCATTCAGTGTACTACAGGCTTCTCAGACATTATTGCATTTCATGTACAAACCAACGAACCACGGCATTTTCGCCTACATGCTGACCCCTACCGGTCAATCGGTATACTACAGTCTTCTCAGACTTTATTTCACTTCATAAGCAAACAAACTAACTACAGCATTTTCGCTTTTATACTGACTCCTATCTGTCATACGGTAGGATTAACCCCTTAGGGACACATGACATGTGTGTCATGTCATGATTCCCTTTTATTCCAGAAGTTTGGTCCTTAAGGGGTTAAAGGGTATTTTTACCATACAATCAGCATTTATGACCCCTACTGGTCAAAAGCAAAACTGTCTTCACATGTCATATACAATTTACCAGCCAATATAAATTACACATAAGATTGTTTTAACCCCTTAAGGACACAAGACATGTGTGACGTGTCATGATTCCCATTTATTCCAGAAGTTTGGTCCTTACGGGGTTAAACATAACCATAAACCATAAATGAAACTCCAGCACGGGCTCAAATTCAGGTTTAATTCACAATAATTTACATTTCACATCAAGACCAACAGTGGTTCTATCAACACTGCCACCTACAGGTCTGTCAAGTACATTGACAATTTTCATGGGGTTTTACAAACACCAAAACACTTACACCTATAGGTCAACAGACAAACAACATTTCACATACCAATCAGTATCCAACTACACTGCCACCTATAGGGCACTCGGCAGATCTCCAGTGCACTTGCATTTTGCAACACCATGTTCACTGACCCCTACCATTCAATAAGACATACAACAATTCACATAGCAAGCACTATATCAACATCAGGTATAAATACATATATTATTACACAGTAGCAGACGCGTCTGTATATACGTAACTGGTAATATAGTTCACATACATTTTTCACAGCACGCTGCTCACGCAACAGACTTTCCCCTAGCAAGGGGACATACAACATACAAGGTGGGGACAGACCACATTTTCACTTGTACATACGGCACTTAATGGGTTAAGATTGATACATATTTAACCAGTATGGCTAGGATGTTTAATATTTACACATCATGGCACTTTTCACATATACTGTACGTATTAAGATAAGCTTGGTCTATGCCATATTTCCTTATGCCATACGGTTTTATCCATTCAGGTTACAGTTACTACTAAAAAACCTATACGGATTGTCAGGTTCAATACCATACTACCAGGTACATACACCTGCTCACGTAGTTATCCATCTCTTACCTTCCCTGGAATAGTAATAGTGTACTGGCAATTAGGGTTCTAGGGCCCAATAGGTATTACCCCCTTTTTTCTCTGCATTATGCTTCGGTTAGTGGTCCCGCGAGGCCAACACCCCGCCTCACACTCGGAGGCATACACCCCTCGGGCCACTCGTGAGCTAGCCGCCTCGCATTGTATCATAGAGAGGGCCTCACCTGTCACTCCCCTTCCTATTTTCTGGTTACTGTCACCGAGAGGCCAACATCCTGCCACAATGTTCGGTGGCCACACAAAATCCCCTCGCGCCAAGCATAGATAGAGCCTCTCAAGCCACTTGGCAACTAGCAGGGCCTCACCAGTCACCAAAAAACACCAAGCCTAATCGTTTCGCCTTACGGCTTAGCTAGCAAGCCAGTACAAGAACCCTGGGTACAAATAATTGCATCTTTATTGTTATTTAAGTATTTTTCCAAAAGATGGTGAACAATCACCTCTTCCTAGCACCCCGGCTAGAATTGATACACCTTCAAGCAGAGGAGATGTTGCTAGTCCTGCAGCAATCAGATCCTGGACGATCCCACACATTACCACCAACCTAAGGAGGTGACAAATCCCCTACCCTGCTACAGCAAGGAAAGCAGAGTTATTCAAACTCCTCCATACATCAACGGACAACACGGAGGCAGGGGAAGGCCCAGCTACATCAACTCAGGTGACACCCAGGCTATGCTAGCCTCACTCATAAACTCATGAGCCAAACATTTTTATGACAGACTGGCAATCTCGAGTTGGTCACCACAGCCCTCACAAGGCTGGGCCTCAAGTTACTGTACAACCAGCACCAACCGAAACTCGGTTACCTGGTACAATCAATTCTTATGACACACAAGATGTTAACCCTGCACGTATGATCCCAACACATTGGGGAAGCAAGGCATATATATGTATGATGATGTATGATGATGTATCTGTGATGGTCAGATTCAGGGATTCCAGGTAAATCGGGAACTGACCATCTCTTGGATGGGTTGGTATTTGGAATATGTAGAGATGTTTATTTGTGCAGGTACCCATACAGAAGGGGTTCTGTCCCAAACAAATGGACGAGCACTCTCAGGCTCCAGGTACCAGCACCTCTGAACTACCAGAGACGATTGATATGAGTAGTTGCATTGCATATAGACTGTTGCATATATGTTCAAATGGTTCAGGGCACATGACAAACCATGTGGCCCAATACAACTTACAAATAACATGCTCACCATCTGTACACACCAATGCATTTTCAACACTACTGACTCATCACCCTTCCAAACTTGTAGTAGATTTACTAAAGCTCTGGAGCTTCAAAGGGCTCCCATACAGGTATCATAAACACACCTTCAAGGAATATAGCATGCCCTCACTTACAGTCAGCACAACAAAACCATTGGCTGAAAACACACCCATAGCCAAGATTTGCAGAGTGGTCTTCCAATCTCCACCATTTACAGCATGGCACCAAACACACACATTGGTATTGTCACAAGGAATCTTCCCTTAAACAAAGACTAACCATAGACTTATTGGCACCACACACCTCCGCTACCCCAAGTCTCAACTCCCTTCTTACTATACAACACCATTGATCTACCTTTACAGCTATCACTCAAGCATGGGTTAAAGCTTGGTTAAGTAAGACCAATATCATCAACGCAGTAAACAGCTACCATCTACCCTACACACTGGCACTTACATGGCATAAATTGGGCAATCCTTTCCCTGCTCAACTTTCGAGCTACAGATTAACCTACTATCGATATTCGCAGATACTCTGTGCTGGTTATGATAACATATCCAGAGGCATTACAGTCATACACTATCTAGAAGACTTCTTGTTGCTCAAAGAAAGCATATTTTTCACTAGAAGCCTCATGGCAGCTTAGTCTGGTTGACCACTTGGGCGTCCCAGTACCCCATAAGAAACAGAAGGCGCAGACACTATCATCACATTACTGGGCATATGACTTGAGTCGGCATCCATACACGCAAGTTACCACAAGACAAATAGGGAACATTCTCAACTAAATCAATCACTACCTCCTGCTTAGTACTTACAACTACAAGGAACTACAATCCCTACCAGGTTCCTTAATTTTGCCATGCCAATCATACCACAAGACCACGCTTTCACATCCAGAGTACTTTCCCCTTTTTTCCACACTTCCAACATGACGATCAGAGGAGGTGCCTAGACACCTCAGCAACAGCAGACCGGCACATGGGGGGGGATTTCTTAACCACTTGGCATGGTAAAAGCATGTTCCTTCCAGGATTGTCTGACACTTCTCCAACCAGATGGTTAGACGCAGCATATACCACGGGTTTGGCAGCGATCTACTGGGAACAATTGCTTTGGGGCATCCAGGTTTGGAAATTTTTCCACCACTTCAGCCCCTTTGGGAGATCTACCCCATTGTAGCAGCTGCTGTGGCATTGGGTAAATCATGGTCAGGGTCATCAATCCGTTGTTACTCAGACAACTAAGCACATATCATATCATCAACAAACGCCACTACTCATCCATAAGTTCATGATGTTTCTGGGGAACTCACTTGGTTGGCCACTTATCACATTTCACTTTCATGTACCAGACGGGGGTATACATCCCTGCCGACAACTGTCTCATTTATATTCCAGGCATGTTCATCATACGCTTCCTACAGCCGCCCATACAGTCACGTCCACTCTTTCGTTCCAGAGACAAAATCATGGATTAGACATACTCATGCAGCATAGCATGCACTATCCCACCTAGCACTTTCGTCCCATACTTGTAGAACGCATAACACAGCTTTTCACCTGGCTTAAAGAATCTCATTGGAACACGACATAGCTCAACCTGTGTCACAAAATTTCTCCTAAGTTTTTCTTATTTTTGCCACCTTAAACTATCTCATACACCATTAATTATATATTTTACAGGCATTCAACAATACATGATAACCTATGGCCAAAACTACCATAAACTTCATGCTATCATACCAGAAAAGAATATACTCAGAGGAATCCATTCCCCCACGTTCCTCTCAGAGATTACCAATAGCCATCCAACTGTTCATCCTTATCAGACCTATTAGATCTACAACCATTCAATTATACTACCAAGTCGGCCATTACCAGCCATGCACATTGCCTTTTATGCCTTTCTCAGGCCAGAGAATCCACTACCATCACCACCACTCAGACAGATCATTGTCTTCAACGATCCCACGTACGTAAACACATATATCATTACCTATTGGCTCTACCACATTCCGAAATGAGTCAACATGCACCAACAGTAGAGATAACATACTATCCTACCCACAACAAATGGTGCCCACTTTCGGTCCTAGATTCCTACCTTCAAAATCCTTTCAGGAATTAAATACTGTAATGCATTTAAGGAAATGTCTGGTTAATTTGTATATATTTGTTGACTGTATTAAATCTTTGATTATTCATTTTTGCCCTCTTTATTTACAGGCCTACCGTATCGTCGGTATCGGCACACCACAACCGACTTGCTCCCTTTACACTATCCTAAGCTTATGCTGGATCCTTACTCCATATACGGCTATTTTGCCCCTTACACAAGTATTAAGGCAGTTTTGCCTGTATTTGTGGGAGGGGCTTAAATTAATTCACTCCCCTATATAAGGGACACCCCTTACCTGACTCATATCGCTTGAGGTCAGCATCAGAATGACCCTCCCACCCACTCCTCATTTCAACACTTTCTCTTTTCTTTCCATTTACTTTACTTTCTTACTCCTTGGTGGGCCCTCTTTATTTACAGGCCTACCGTATCGTCGGTATCGGCACACGACAACCGACTTGCTCCCTTTACACTATCCTAAGCTTATGCTGGATCCTTACTCCATATACGGCTATTTTGCCCCTTACACAAGTACAGTTTCTGTAGCTTCAGAACAGTATTTGTTCTGGTGAGTAGAATCATTCCCTTCAGGCATTTTACAGTAAACATTGTCTTTTCAGATAAAATGCAGTGTTTACATTACAGCCTAGGGACTCCTTTCAGTGGTCACTCTTTAGATGGCTACTTGAGTTGCTTCCTGGGGCAGTGCTGCAACATTCAGTGTCTCTACCCTCTGCATAGAGACACTGAACTTCCCCCATAGAGATCCATTGATTCAATGCATCTCCATGAGGAGATGCTGCTTGGACAGGGTGGCATTTGGCTCCGCCCCCAGCCCACCTCCTTGGCTGAGATCATCAGAATTGGCAAATTCAGCCAATCCAATTCTTTCCTACGCTACCGGTAAGAATTGTGTTTGGTTGAGATTATCACTTCTGATAATGTCAGCCAAGGAGGCAGATCAGAGGCAGAGCCAGCAGAATAAAGCCTGGAATAAAAGTAAGATTTTATTATATTTAGGGGGGCAGGGAGAGCACAGGGGGGATAGATAGTGTTTTTAACACTACAGGGTCAGGAATACATGTTAAGGTTCCTGACCCTATAGTGTTCCTTTAAATTTTACATAATTTAAAGTTTGCCTGCGAAGCAATCTATACACTAAATGGATATGTTATGTATATAATAATAATAATATGCTGTTAATGTGTTTATATGCTAGCTATGCATCCTGTAGAATATGCAATATTCTACACATCCCTCGCTTCAAATACACATTATGCTAATATTTTTTTAATCACAACGTGCTTGGTAGCGAATGGGTTAATGTTGTTTTGTGAATGAATAAGTTAGAACTGTAACGATACAGTTACTAATTGGTAAGTTAATTTTACATTATTCTGAGCAGGGGGCTTCAGTTAAAGGACCGCTATAGTGCCAGGAAAACATACTTGTTTTCCTGGCACTACAGGGTCTCTAGGTCCCCGCCCCACCCTCTGGGTCCACCCCTCCTGCCAGGCTCTAGGGGGTGGAAGGGGTTAATCCATTACCTTTTCCCCCCACCAGGCTCCCTCGGCGCGGGGAACTCTCCTCCTCTTTTTCGCCGTCATCGGCTGAATGCGCATGCACGGCAAGAGCCGCGCACACATTCAGTCAGTCCATAGGAAAGCATTCTCAATGCTTTCCTTTGGACGCTGGCGTTTTTCTCACTGTGAAAATCACAGTGAGAAGCGCCTCTAGCGGCTGTCAACGAGACAGCCACTAGAGGCTGGATTACCCATAGGTAAATATAGCAGTTTCGCTGAAGTGTGACTTGTCATGATTTCCTTTTATTCCAGAAGTTAAGGCCTTAAGGGGTTAAACAGCACAGGACATTTCCCGTGCTCAGTTCTTTTGTGTTTCCTATGCTCCTCCTGCTCGAAAAATGCAGAGAGCACGGGAAAATGGTTTCCTCCAGCTGTCCTGGGCTGCAGCAGTCGGAGATTTATATTATGTTTATCAGACCTCTTCCTCGTATTTTTTTAATCACAACGTGCTTGGTAGCGAATGGGTTAATGTTGTTTTGTGAATGAATAAGTTAGAACTGTAACGATACAGTTACTAATTGGTAAGTCAATTTTACATTATTCTGAGCAGGGGGCTTCAGTTAAAGGACCGCTATAGTGCCAGGAAAACATACTTGTTTTCCTGGCACTACAGGGTCTCTAGGTCCCCGCCCCACCCTCTGGGTCCACCCCTCCTGCCAGGCTCTAGGGGGTGGAAGGGGTTAATCCATTACCTTTTACCCCCACCAGGCTCCCTCGGCGCGGGGAACTCTCCTCCTCTTTTTCGCCGTCATCGGCTGAATGCGCATGCACGGCAAGAGCCGCGCACACATTCAGTCAGTCCATAGGAAAGCATTCTCAATGCTTTCCTTTGGACGCTGGCGTTTTTCTCACTGTGAAAATCACAGTGAGAAGCGCCTCTAGCGGCTGTCAACGAGACAGCCACTAGAGGCTGGATTACCCATAGGTAAATATAGCAGTTTCGCTGAAGTGTGACTTGTCATGATTTCCTTTTATTCCAGAAGTTAAGGCCTTAAGGGGTTAAACAGCACAGGACATTTCCCGTGCTCAGTTCTTTTGTGTTTCCTATGCTCCTCCTGCTCGAAAAATGCAGAGAGCACGGGAAAATGGTTTCCTCCAGCTGTCCTGGGCTGCAGCAGTCGGAGATTTATATTATGTTTATCAGACCTCTTCCTCGTAGGCCCCAGACACGACAAATTCAGCCTCTCTATCACTGAAGATCCAATGCACAGTTCCACTTTCCGTGTCTTAATTTGGCAACATGGGACCATGGGTTCTCTTTCGTTGAGATGATAACGGCAATTAATGCTCACACCCTGTGGGGGTTTCCTATTTCAGAAGGTGTAGTGTATATTTGTCTTATTTTATATCATTCCCCTCCCTGACATATGGACACTGTTTTTTTTTTTATTACAATTGAGTGCTTTTCAAACGTGCTCTAAACTGGATTATTGAAAGTTGACCAGGGAATTACACATTTAAGCATTTGTTAATATATATATAATTTTATTTTTTTTCTCCCATTTTATTAAATTAATCATTTTAATGTAACACAACAGGTAGGCCTCAGGACTGTTTTTATTGCAAAATCAATTATAGAGTAATCCATAAGAAGACAGGTTTATGGCCAGATAATGATTTTACAGATAAAATGAGCAGCTGAAAGGCACTTAATGAGCATTATTACACAGGCAGAGCAGGAACTAGATTAAAAGTTGATTGAAAAACATTTTTTTCTCCCTAAATCTGAACTGAACTGTGAACATTGCTTTGCAGCAATAATGGCCATGGCTTGGCTCTGCGTGTTGGCTGGCTGAGCATTATATTAAATGGGAGTCCAAATAAATCAGTATTGCCAAAAGTGTCCATGCCAGCTTTATGGCATAGCGGTGTACTGTTTTGGTTGTGTTTGGTTGCTGGAGATTAATTATTAACTAAAAGCTCTCTATCATCCCCTCCCCTTCTCCACCATAAAACAAGCAGAGAGCTAGACTGTATCTTCCTTTGTTGTCTAACTTCTAATTTCTCAGGTACAATGCCTTAGAGTTCAAGGTTCTCTCTCTTCTCAGCCGCTAAATGGATATTAAAATTACGAAATGTTTTCAAAGCTGCTCACCTATCAATAAAAATGTTAACACAGCATATCTACTGTTTTTACCATTGATTATATATGTGCAGTTATGATTGTAGAGTGAGCCAAACATGCACAATTTAGCACCGTAAGTGCTCTCCATAGTGATTACGTTGCTTACAGTGCCCTAGTGTAACCATCTTGTCGGATGTCAAACTGTGTAGAAATGGTTTGCAGAGAAAGCACCCCGCTTAGCCACATTGATAGTGCGAAATTACCAGTTATGTGTTATCGAAGTAAATTTTGTTCTGAGTGCATGACATTGATTGGCTGACAGAGCTGGGAAAACCCACTCGAATACTTTCAGCCTATCAAACGCATCCTGATTGGACTAAATTTATGCTGATAATACGTAAAAGTAAATTAAGCATTTGAGGTGGGAGGGATCTCTAGGAAGAGCTTTGGTTTTTATCAAACCGACCCTCAACGATTTGATATTAAGTCGGGGCTAGTGCCACGGCACCATAACTACTACACTGAAACATAGTGGTTGTGTGTTACTCAAAATAGTTAATTAAGATGGATGTTTGACCTGCCCTCAACAAAAATGAATGCTTTCCTTATGCTATTTGTAAGTTTTTCACCAGTTTGATACTACTGACATTGTCCTATGTCCAAGCAACCCAATCAAATGTTATTATAAAATAAAAGAAGTATCCCACGGTTTGCAGAGGCCACCTCTGACCTCTCTGTTGGTCCTATGTCCCGAAACTGGTGAGTCTATATTCACTTTATATCCAAGTAGGCTTAAAAAATTCCAGAATTGGAAAAAGTATTACATTAAATAAAAAGCTATTTTATTAGGCATGAGAAAAAAATAAATATCTAGAGACAATTTTCAACATTCTGTAACAATTCATTGCTATGATTTACTCTAGTATCATTGCTGAGACCGATGATAATGGGATTTGTCTCACCCCTTGACATCAAGAGGTAAATGAAAAATCTGCTGAAACGTTCTTCAAGTAAAATCCCTCATTTAAAACAGAATTAAAACACAATTTTTAAGGTTTGTGATCTTGAGTTGCTTCGATTTGCTCTGTCACTGGGGCCTATGAAGATTATAGAGATGTCTTTCTTACTTCATGCACCTGATATCACAGGTGTAGACATGCAGTCACTCATGAACGTGAGCTCACTCGCCCAGCCTGTCAGTTCTATCCAATATGCACAGAACTAACATTGGTAATGTGCACGTGTTGGTAGTGGAAGTGCTGGTTCTGATTCTTGGAGAGCACCTTCAGTTGGATATTTTCTCAGTCCATGCTTTAATATTATATCTCTTCTCCAATGTGCCCCCCAGTCTGTGTAACTTATATTGGCCTCTGTTTGTACTGAGTGGGCCATTAAGGTCACAGGGAGTATATCGGAATGAAAGCCATAAATCTGAACACTTTACTCACCCAAGCTGTGTGTGATATATTGATTTTACTGCACTTCTCACTAATTGATATTAATTACCCTAGTTGCTGTGAAACGTATAATTCTAGTAGAAGGTATGAACACCTCTCATCTGACTCCACCACCTGTAACCTACATCTGGCACTGTGCACTCCACCACCTGTAACCTACATCTGGCACTGTGCACTGCACCACCTGTAACCAAATCTGGCACTGTGCACTGCACCACCTGTAACCTACATCTGGCACTGTGCACTCCACCACCTGTAACCTACATCTGGCACTGTGCACTCCACCACCTGTAACCTACATCTGGCACTGTGCACTGCACCACCTGTAACCTACATCTGGCACTGTGCACTCCACTACCTGTAACCTACATCTGGCACTGTGCACTGCACCACCTGTAACCTACATCTGGCACTGTGCACTCCACCACCTGTAACCTACATCTGGCACTGTGCACTCCACCACCTGTAACCTACATCTGGCACTGTGCAGCCAGTCAAGGTGCATGATGGGAAATATATTTTCAGCTAGAGAGCTTGGTAATATATGTTTGGTTTAATTTGTTAAAATGTATGAAATACAGTTGAATTAGTTTAAAAAAGTCAAGAATTAAAACGTAAATGTTACTTTTCCTGCAGCTCACATTATTTGGAAGTTTGTAGCCGATAGGTCCCTGAAGCTCTCTGAGGTTACAGCTGGGTCCCTTACACTGATGCAGACAATGTGATTTGATCCAGACCGTAAATGCAGGATGAACGTGACACAGAAATCTATTTACATATTCACGAGGCTAAAACCGAAATAAAAAAATAAAACCAACACTCCTAAATGGGAGCAGGTTGGGATCTTTCAGACAGGCCCAGCGCTGGTACCGCATACAGCAGTATTCTGGGAACATGGTCATTAAATATACAGAGGAGTTTTACTGACTCATAGAGTCACAAGGCAGGGCCATCTCTCAGATTCCCCCTTATACGCCAATACTGGTGTCTGTCTAGTAGTGAAAAGAGGGCCAACATTGTAGGGCCAGGATTAGCAGGGAAGCTGAAATACTTTGATGAGTAGTTTGAAAGTGGATCTACCATGATGTTCTTTTTGAAATAATAATGGGATTTTGTCAACGTCTGTCTTTATGGTTTGTGTTTTCCTACTTTCAAGTTATCAGGATTATTTTACATTGTGGGCTTCTCTTCCTAGCAACACAACGAGAATTGTGGTTTTATTCCACTGCTGTATAATTACTGACAAATAAGGCTAGCCTGAGGTTAGCAGTCAAGTTACCCATGTTTCCTAGCTTCATACCGAGGTCACAGGAAAGATGGGAAAGGGGCAATCAACCATAATAAAATAAATGTTTTCCTCAGAATTAGAAATATTAATTTCTGTTACTCCAAAGGCTGGGAAACCATTGTTTGGTGGCATGCTCACTTCTGTTATTTCTTCCCCGAAAGGAAGTGCTAAGAGTAGGACGAGTCCGTCTCCCCCAGCAGACAAGGAGCATTTTGTGTTTTGTTACGTTCTGGTGGAACATGTCATTATTTCCACATATATAACTGTAACTTACAACTAGCTCTGTGTGTTCTGAACTTGTTTTGTGATCTGCCATTTAGTTATGTGTTTAAGTTAGGAATTCAAATCCTGTTCGATTTAAAATACGGCAAATCAAACCAATTATATCCCATTAATGGGCGCTGTTTAATGAGGAGAACGAACCAGTAATCCTTTAAATGTGTCTGTATCTTCACTTCCTAACCCGTGGAGGAATTAGAGGCTTCAGGTGTCATTTTATCTTTGATGTAGAATTTTGAAGGAATGTAACCCTAGTCATTCCTCCATGTGAATGGAAAACAGTTTATTATACATGGTGCCCTAAAACCAAGACCCTTTGTCCATTTAAGATGTGTTGGGTACACATCTATTTGATGGAGTAGGTGGGCAGGATTGGTTAAAATGACATACTCTCTGCCTTTCCCTCTCAATGACATGTTTGAGGAAGCTCCCCGGAGATAATTTTTCTTGGGTTGGAGGGGATAGAGAAGGGGCTATAATGTTGTTATCTGAAGGACGAGCCAATGAGGGGATATCAAAAAAGCTGAGGAGAGTGTGACAGATTCATATTATGTGACCCAGGAATTTGGTGGGGATAAACCTTTACATATATATCAATATATAGATATAAATATATCTACAGAGTGGAGGTCCTCCCAATATATATAACCACCATATTGGAAGTCATCCTATACATATATATGCAAAAATACCAGTATGCAATGATACCTTTTTTTATTGGACTGACATAATATTTCAAATACAAGCTTTGGAGCAATACAGATCAATCTGATAGAGTTTAACACTTAAACAACTGATGTTAGAGAAGGGGAGGAAGGGCGGCGGGGAGGAAACGTAAATAGCAGAAGATGTGCCTGAAAGTGAAAGGTGCAAGTTGGCTGAGAATAGCCAGAAAAAAATAAAATAAATAAACAGAGGAGAGTCAATAAACTAGTTTAAAAAAATAAAACGGCTATAATATACTTGCATGCCCTGCTCTGTTTTCTTTTTTCCTTTTTAATTAGCTTATTGACTCTCCTCTGTTTATTTACTTTCTCTGGCTATTCTCAGCCAACCTGCACTTTTCACTTTCAGGCACATCTTCTGCTATTTACGAAACCCCACTCACCCTTCTTTAACATCAGTTGTTTTAAGTGTTAAAGGATCACTATAGGCACCCAGACCACTTCAGCTTAATGAAGTGGTCTGGGTGCCAGGTCCAGCTAGAGAAACTTCTATGTTTACATTAGGGTTAATCCAGCCTCTAGTGGCTGTCTCATTGACAGCTGCTAGAGGCGCTTGCGTGCTTCTCACTGTGATTTTCACAGTGAGAAGACGCCAGCGTCCATAGGAAAGCATTATAAATGCTTTCCTATGAGACTGGCTGAATGCGCGCGCAGCTCTTGCCGCGCATGCACATTCAGCCGAGGAGGAGGAAGAGCTCCCCGCCCGGCGCTGGAGAAAGAGGTAAGTTTAACCCCTTCCTCCCCCTAGAGCCCGGCGGTACTATAGTGCCAGGAAAACAAGTAAGTAACTCTATCAGATTGATCGGTATTGCTTCAGACCTGAGGAAGAGAGGAAACTCTCGAAAGCTTGTCTTTGAAATATTATGTTAGTCCAATAAAAAAAGTATCATTGCATACTGCTATTTTGGCAATATATATCTATCCATCGAGTGGCAGTCACACAATACACATATTCACAAAGTGGGGGTCACGCAAATATCTCTAGAGTGGGATCCACCAATGCAAATATCCACAGAGTGGGGGTCACCAATATACGTATCCACAGAGTGAGGGTCACCAATACAAATATTCACAGAGTGAGGGTCACCAATATACGTATCCACAGAGTGAGAGTCACCAATACAAATATCCACAGAGTGAGGGTCACCAATATACGGATCCACAGAGTGAGAGTCACCAATACAAATATTCACAGAGTGGGGTCACCAATACAAATATCCACAGAGTGGGGTCACCAATATACGTATCCACAGAGTGAGGGTCACCAATACAAATATTCACAGAGTGAGGGTCACCAATACAAATATTCACAGAGTGAGGGTCACCAATACAAATATTCACAGAGTGGGGTCACCAATATACGTATCCACAGAGTGAGGGTCACCAATACAAATATTCACAGAGTGGGGGTCACCAATATACGTATCCACAGTGTGAGGGTCACCAATACAAATATCCACAGAGTGAGGGTCACCAATACAAATATCCACAGAGTGAGAGTCACCAATACAAATATCCACAGAGTGAGGGTCACCAATACAAATATCCACAGAGTGGGGGTCACCAATACACATATTCACAGAGTGGGAGTCACCAATACAAATATATACAGAGTGGGGAACACCAATACATATATTCACTGAGTGGGGGTCACCAATGCAAATATTCACAGAGTGGGAGACACCAATACAAATATATACAGAGTGGGGGACACCAATACATATATTCACTGAGTGGGGGTCACCAATACAAATATTCACAGAGTGGGGGACACCAATACATATATTCACTGAGTGGGGGACACCAATGCAAATATTCACAGAGTGGGAGACACCAATACAAATATATACAGAGTGGGGGACACCAATACATATATTCACTGAGTGGGGTCACCAATATACAGATCCACAGAGTGAGGGTCACCAATACAAATATCCACAGAGTGGGGTCACCAATATACAGATCCACAGAGTGAGAGTCACCAATACAAATATTCACAAAGTGGGGACACCAATACATATATTCACTGAGTGGGGGTCACCAATACAAATATATACAGAGTGGGGGTCACCAATACAAACATTCACAGAGTGAGGGTCACCCAACACATTCAGGTATATAACTGAGGGTCACCAAATAAATCACCACACAATGGAGTTATCTAAAAACAAGTCCACACTGCACCACCATAACTATATATACGGTATATACCAACATGTGCATACAGTAAAACTGCTGTCCTAAGCAGAAACAAACAGTAATTATAGATAGGGAGTGGGAACAGAGGTACAGACACCTCTGGGTATCTACAACACTTGGATATACAGAGACCTCCTCACCTGGACTGGTCAAAACATATCTAGGACTGGCCAATACTTATATAGGACTGGCCAAAACATATCTAGGACTGGTCAATACTTATATAGGACTGGCCAAAACATATCTAGGACTGGTCAATACTTATATAGGACTGGCCAAAACATATCTAGGACTGGCCAAAACATATCTAGGACTGGTCAATACTTATATAGGACTGGCCAAAACATATCTAGGACTGGCCAATACTTATATAGGACTGGCCAAAACATATATAGGACTGGCCAATACTTACATAGGACTGGCCAAAACATATATAGGACTGATCAATAGATGCATAGGACTGACCAATTCATAATTCATCTACAAGACTTGTTAATCGATATATAGCACTGGTTATTAGATATATAGGACTGGTTAATAGATATACAGGACTGGTTATTAGATATATAGGACTGGTTAATAGATATATAGGACTGGTTATAGGATTGGTGGACTGGTTAATAGATATATAATATATATATACTTAGTAAGAGCATATGTATAGGATGTGCATTTAAACTTCTGCTGCACAAAAACTAAACATAAAGAGCTGGATAATGACTCTAATAACTGTATGCAATATATATATATAATGCAATCCTTCCCAGTTACAGGAGTAATTGGCTATATGTATAGGTATTATCCTCTACCAGTCCTAGAGGTCTTACACTGTATGTAGAGGTATTATCCTCTACCAGTCCTAGAGGTCTTACACTGTATGTATAGGTATTATCCCCTTACAGTCCTAGAGGTCTTACACTGTATGTATAGGTATTATCCCCTTCCAGTCCTAGAGGTCTTACACTGTATGTATAGGTATTATCCCCTTCCAGTCCTAGAGGTCTTACACTGTATGTATAGGTATTATCCTCTACCAGTCCTAGAGGTCTTACACTGTATGTATAGGTATTATCCCCTTCCAGTCCTTGAGGTCTTACACTGTATGTATAGGTATTATCCTCTACCAGTCCTAGAGGTCTTACACTGTATGTATAGGTATTATAGCCTACCGGTCCTAGAGGTCTTACACTGTACATAGCAGTCTGTTAAACTCTAATTGTTCTTATTGCAAAGTTTGTATTCCAGTTTTTAACATGGGGGAGGGGGGGGGGCTGTATGTCTGGAACCAGCTCCTCTCCGCATAGTGTGAGACAAAGCTTAATTGAAACCAAACTGCCCCATCTTCCCCGTCTCTGTAACTGCTAACTGCCCCCAACACTGCCATAAACATCCATGGGGTCACAAATCTGCCCCAACATGTGGCAATAAAATAATAAAGTGCTCTAGTACAGTGGTAAGCGCCCCAGGGCCACAGCCGAACGTACAATATTATCCGATTATTCCCCCTAGCGATACCTAGCAGGGCCTCCCTCATACCCACAATCCCACCAGACACCTGTGGCCCCTGATACAGGGGCCCAACCTTCAAACCAGCTTAAACAGTAAAAGTGAATATCAATACCTCATTTTGTGATTTGCCCGTCAGCATCTGATCCACTTGTGACTTCTGTGTCCCCAGACATAACATGGCATCCCTGCTGTGTCCCCAGCCCCGCACAGACTACCCCCGGCGCTCCAGCTAGTGCCTGGCTACAGTGTGTGTCATTCAGCCTCCACGGCCGGCTCTCACTCTTTGTCTCCTGCGTCCTTCCCTCTGCTTTCTTCTGTATTCTGGCAGGTGCTTCTCAATATCTCTCTATCCATGTAACTCCTTTCACGTTCTCGCTTTTGTCTTATCCAGCTCTCTCCCTTCCTCCCCCCCTTCTTTGTTTATGTCTCTAACACTCTCTCTTTCATTCTCTCGCCCTCCCCTCCATGTCCTCCCTTCTCTCTGCAGTTCACTCTCAATCGCTTTGCAGTCTCAGTCCAACTTTGGGAGATTTGGCACTACAGCACTCAATCTGTCCTTTTGCCTCCCCTCGCCCCCGTCACTGCTCCAGGCATCCCCTAATCTTTCCTAATTTTCCCCCAGTCCCTCTTGGCTCAGTTATGTCATCTTAACACCTGTTGAGCGTTGTGCCAGTGCAGCTTGTGAGCGAGTGTGCCCTGTGTGTGCACACTGTGAGTGTGATTGCCTTTCTGTTTGCACACTGGGGACAGTGCAGGAGGAGGGAGGGCATGCCTTGATCCCTGAGTTGTGCTGACATGTCTCAGCCAAGATCCAGCCACACTACCCCACCCCCTCCCACCTTCTCCCAATCCCTGCAGACATGTCTCTTCTAACAAACACAGAACTGGTTTGGCAACTCCCAAAATAACAGGGCGACTGTGCTTGCACATCTGGGAAATAGGGACATTTCATGACACCAATGTGTGTACTGTTACATTGCTGGGCGTGATGCATTGTGAATCTGCAGCTACTCTCTGCCAATAAAGGGGTTAGGTCCTGTCTGTGAAAGGGGGCAAGAAGGGGTCACATTGGGAATCTGTGGAAGGGCAAGCGTGGAATGCCTTTACAGGCAAACAGCGAGAATAAGGCCAGCTGCATCCTACCAGAAATGCAAACACTGCCCCACCCCCAAAATGAACCCCCTTCCACAGTATAGGACCCACTTTTCTGAATATTAATGCATTTACGATGGGCTCGGTCACCGTCGCCCATGCTGCAGTAAAGGATACCATACTGTCTGATCACATTTTATACCTTGTATTACAGCTCACATTCTGCCATCTAAATGTCTGTGCCAGAATTGTAAGCTGCCAATATCTGACATCTCCTGGATAATTAAAGGATAATTATCTTTAAAAAAACAAAAACGATCCTGTTATGTCAATTAATAATTTAATGAGAGTAACGCAGTCGAATGAGGATTTGCAGAGTTGTTCTGTGTGATATCCACCACATTCCAAACAATGCTTTGCTGTTTGAAATCTCCGTAGGACGCCCCCTCCCTGTCCCTGCAGTGGGTGCTCTATAGGAAGCTATTGTCTGCGCTGTGCATTTTTAGCAGCAGTAAAGGGGCCGGGATCTTGTATCGTTTTCTAAAACTGGTGACAAAAGCACAAGTGATCATGTCATTCTACACTAATTCTACTAATAAACCCGTAACAACAAAACATTTGGGTTTTTTTTGCAGTAAATATAGCCTTGTCTTCACTTCTTTTTCAACCCAGGGCCTGGCCATGGAAACTTTACATATGTGTATAACTAGTGACTGAGGAAGTGAAGGGTTAACTTTCTTTGTAAGACTGGACAACATTGTGGAGTGCTTGTGGATACTGCAGCCAAGTTTCTGCCACGGCCTCCGGGAGAATGAGAATTTAATCTCTTACATTGAACTTGCCAATGGACGAGGAATGGGATGAAAACACAGAGATTTAGTCATGATCACTGTGCTGACCTGATGGAGATCTGCACAGGCTAAGCACAGAAGGCCAGCGGTATATATAGCACATGGCAGACTGCTTACAGAGCCCGCACATTGTCCTCTCTTCCCATATCCTCGGCAGAACTCGCTGGGTTTCACTTATCGCACAGGTCAAAATAGAACATGATCAAAAATAAGCAATTGATGGACCTTATATTGTATTTGTTAAATCTTTCCCTAGAGTATTGGAACTGAGCATGCCCATCTGTAACATTTATTTTGCGCCACGCCAATGCTCTTTTTTCTGAAATGCGTCCAACCTAATTTGAACATTTTATGGTTTTCTGCTGTAAATTGTGAATAAGACAAACCTTTCATACTAATGATGTATTCCAAAGGAAAGGTGAAAATTTTTAATATGCTGTGAGGAATCTTAAAATACACAACGTCTGTTATTTTGTGGAATGAATACTCAGCAAGGAATACATTCTGTCCATGGAACAAAATATTCACACCATACAGCTGTGCGGAACTGACATTTGGAATTCTGACGCACAGCTGTGGCCTGTAATGTTACTAGAAACTCTCTCAACATTCTGTATTTGTTGCCACTGGATTGAGGGAAAATTTAATATTTTCTCGTAGAGTAAATAATAATCTTTTGTTATCAAAACATGCGTAGGTACTTTTTCACTTTCTAAGTCCAACTCGATTAAATTGGTAACATTCGTGGCACTGACCACTCACACGTAAATTGAGTAGAACACGGCTAAATGAGACCAAAACAGCTAGATTCAAGAGAATCAGACATTTCTATTGGGCAATGAAATTACTAGCAAATCTAGATTTTAAATTTTTTTAATAATACGCTACAGGAGTATACACGCTGAAATGTGAAGCGCCTCTAGACATCTTTGGAGTGCTGAATAGAAGGCCTCCGGACAAATGTGAATATAAGTTTATATCCGACGTTACAGTGTTTTATCTTTTTTTTCTTTTTTCACTTATTGTATAAAACTATGTGCCCTGGGGAAGCTACAAGAGAGACGCTGAGTGCAGCACCTGTTCTATGGATTTTGCAGATACCTGTGTTTACAAAAAGCCCAGCAGGAGAGGAGGGTAGCAGGAGTGCAAGATGTGTTATACAGAACTTGGCATGGGAGTGGGGTTTCCTATTATTCAGAACTTGGAATAAGAATGGGGCGTTCCTATCATACCGGGCTTGGAGTGAGAGCATGAGGCCTTCCTACAATACAGAGCTTGGAGTGAGAGCATGAGGCCTTCCTACAATACAGAGCTTGGATTGAGAGCATGAGGCTTTCCTACAATACAGAGCTTGGATTGAGAGCATGAGGCCCTCCTACAATACAGAGCTTGGATTGAGAGCATGAGGCCTTCCTACAATACAGAGCTTGGATTGAGAGCATGAGGCCCTCCTACAATACAGAGCTTGGATTGAGAGCATGAGGCCTTCCTACAATACAGAGCTTGGATTGAGAGCATGAGGCTTTCCTACAATACAGAGCTTGGATTGAGAGCATGAGGCCCTCCTACAATACAGAGCTTGGATTGAGAGCATGAGGCCTTCCTACAATACAGAGCTTGGGTTGAGAGCATGAGGCCATCCTACAATACAGAGCTTGGATTGAGAGCATGAGGCCTTCCTACAATACAGAGCTTGGATTGAGAGCATGAGGCCTTCCTACAATACAGGGCTTGGATTGAGAGCATGAGGCCTTCCTGCAATACAGATCTTGGATTGAGAGCATGAGGTGTTCCTATAATGCAGAGCTAAAAATGTGAACATGGGGTGTTTCTATCATGCAGAGCCTGGATTGGGAGCATCAGGTGTTCCTATAACAAATCTTAGAGTGAGAGCATGAGGCATTCCTATCATACAGAGCTTGGGAGCATGAGGCATTCCTATGATACAGAACTCAGTTTGGGAGCATAGGGCGTTCCTATAATACTGAGCCTGGGAGCATGGGGTGTTCCTGTATTATAGAGGTCGGAGTGGGAACATGAGGCGTTCCTATAATATAGAGCTCAGAGTGAGAGCATAAGGCATTCCTGTCATACAGAGCTTGGATTGGGAGCATGAGGCGTTCCTATCATACAGAACTCCGTTTGGGAGCATAGGGCGTTCCTATAATACTGAGCTTGGGAGCATGGGGTGTTCCTGTAATATAGAGGTCGGAGTGGGAACATGAGGTGTTCCTATAATATAGAGCTCAGAGTGAGAGCATAAGGCATTCCTGTCATACAGAGCTTGGATTGGGAGCATGAGGAGTACCTATCATACAGAACTCTGTTTGGGAGCATAGGGCGTTCCTATAATACTGAGCTTGGGAGCATGGGGTGTTCCTGTAATATAGAGGTCTGAGTGGGAACATGAGGTGTTCCTATAATATAGAGCTCAGAGTGAGAGCATAAGGCATTCCTATCATACAGAGCTTGGATTGGGAGCATGAGGAGTTCCTATCATACAGAACTCCGTTTGGGAGCATAGGGCGTTCCTATCATACAGAGCTCAAAGTGGGAACATGAGGCATTCCTATAATACAGAGCTTCGATTGGGAGCATGAGGAGTTCCTATCATACAGAGCTTGGATTGGGAGCATGAGGAGTTCCTATCATACAGAACTCCGTTTGGGAGCATAGGGCGTTCCTATCATACAGAGCTCAAAGTGGGAACATGAGGCATTCCTATAATACAGAGCTTCGATTGGGAGCATGAGGAGTTCCTATCATACAGAGCTTGGATTGGGAGCATGAGGAGTTCCTATCATACAGAACTCCGTTTGGGAGCATAGGGCGTTCCTATCATACAGAGCTCAAAGTGGGAACATGAGGCATTCCTATAATACAGAGCTTCGATTGGGAGCATGAGGAGTTCCTATCATACAGAGCTTGGATTGGGAGCATGAGGAGTTCCTATCATACAGAACTCCGTTTGGGAGCATAGGGCGTTCCTATCATACAGAGCTCAAAGTGGGAACATGAGGCATTCCTATAATACAGAGCTTGGATTGGGAGCATGAGGAGTTCCTATCATACAGAGCTTGGATTGGGAGCATGAGGAGTTCCTATCATGGGGAGCTTGGTGTAAGAGTATGAGACGTTCTTATCATATCGTCGCGCTCCTCTCTATCTGGCCAATGCTGAATGTTCTCATGCTGCTCACAATAGGAACATGGGGCATTCCTATAATACAGAGCTCAAAGTGAGAGCATGAGACGTTTCTACCTTATAAAACTCGGAGTGAGAGCATGAGGCATTCCTATAATACAGAGCTCGGAAGGGAGAACATGGGGCATTCCTATCATACAGAGCTCAGAGTGAGAACATGGTATGTTCCTATCATACAGAGCTCGGATTGGGAGCATGGGGTATTCCTATCATACAGACCTCGGAGTGAGAGCATGGGGTGCTCCTATCATATAGAGCATGGAGTGGAAACATGGGGCGCTCCTATCATACAGAGTTCGGATTGGGAGCATGGGGTATTCCTATAATACAGAGCTCGGAGTGGGAACATGAGGCGTTCCTGTCATACAGAGTTCGGATTGGGAGCATGAGATGTTGCTATAATACAGAACTCGGAATGAGAGCATTGGGCATTCCTATCATACAGAGCTTGGATTGGGAGCATGAGGCGTTCCTATCATACAGAGCCCGGAGTAGAAACATGGGGTGTTCCTATAATACAGAGCTTGGTGTGAGAGCATGAGGTGTTGCTATAATACAGAACTCGGAATGAGAGCATGGGGCATTCCTTTAATACAGAGCTTGGAGTGAGAGCATGAGGCGTTCCTATAATACAGAGCTCGGTGGGGTGTTACTGTCATACAGAACTCGGAGTGAAAACATGGGGCGTTGCTATCATACAGAGCTCGGATTGTGAGCATGGGACGTTCCTGTCATACAGAGCTCGGATTGTGAGCATGGGACGTTCCTGTCATACAGAGGTCGGAGTGGGAACATGAGGCGTTCCTGTGATACAGAGATCGATTGGGAGCATGAGGTGTTGCTATCCTACAGAGCTCGGAGTGAGAACATGAGGAGTTCCTGTCATACAAAGCTTGGAGTTAGAACATGAGGCGTTCCTGTCATACAGAGCTCGGAGTTGGAACATGGGGCGTTCCTATCATACAGCGCTCGGAGTGGGAACATGGGGCATTCCTTCATACAGAGCTCGGAGTGAGAACATGGGGCATTCCTATCATACAGAGCTGGGAGTGGGAACATGGGACGTTTCTATCGTACAGAGCTGGGAGTGGGAACATGGGGCATTCCTATCATACAGAGCTCGGAGTGAGAACATGAGGAGTTCCTGTCATACAGAACTCAGAGTTAGAACATGAGGCGTTCCTGTCATACAGAGCTCGGAGTTGGAACATGGGGCGTTCCTATCATACAGAGCTGGGAGTGGGAACATGGGGCGTTCCTATCATACAGAGCTGGGAGTGGGAACATGGGGCGTTCCTATCATACAGAGCTGGGAGTGGGAACATGGGGCGTTCCTATCATACAGAGCTGGGAGTGGGAACATGGGGCGTTCCTATCATACAGAGCTGGGAGTGGGAACATGGGGCGTTCCTATCATACAGAGCTGGGAGTGGGAACATGGGGCGTTCCTATCATACAGAGCTGGGAGTGGGAACATGGGACATTCCTATCATACAGAGTTGGGAGTGGGAACATGGGGCGTTCCTATCATACAGAGCTGGGAGTGGGAACATGGGGCGTTCCTATCATACAGAGCTGGGAGTGGGAACATGGGGCGTTCCTATCATACAGAGCCTGGAGTGAAAACATGGGGTGCTGCTATAATACAGAGCTCAGAGTGAGGGCATAAGGTGTTCTTATCATACCATGCTGCTCCTCTCCATTTGGCCGTTGCTGAATATGCTCACGCTGTTCCTCTTCATTCAGCTGAAGCCGAATCTTGACATGCCGCTTTCCTGCATTCGGATGGCGCCAAAATGCTCTTGCAAACTAGGAGGATTAAAACATATCTACCAGTTTAGTGAGCTGATTAGACTCAGGATATTGAATATTCACTTAATAGTGAATAGCCATTAAATGGGATATTGTGCTACAGACACAGATCGCTTGGGTGAACAACATCTAGTTTGAAGTTATAAGATAGGTTTGTTTAATTTATGTAAATGGAAGTTTCTACTGAAGAAAATCAATAGTGTGATCAGGAATGAAGTGGAAATGGAAAAATAGGAATGAGGGAATAGAATTGCACAATACGCTTATAAAAATATCAAAAAATATACATATACTTGGGTTGACTGAGATCTACTAAACGGTGTTACACAGAGAATGTGAAAAGCTAAATGCTTATTGTACAAGTTTGGATCCAAATGGATATACCTTGAACAGTAAAAGTGGATAATAAATGAAACATAAATATTAAATAAATAAAAAGATAAAAACCGTCAATTGATAGAATTGTATCAGCTAAATAAATTCCAGACTGATTACCTACTATGGTATAAGTAGGAAGAAATTCTGGTATAGCTGAAAATAATATAGTGTGTAATTCATATTTTGCAACCTTATGTAATATGGTACACCATAATTGTGTGCAATATGTCATCATTCATACATTTGTAATTTGTAATTCTTATTTTGTAATCTTTATTGTTCATTTTAATATGCCAATTAATGCAGAGTTGTGTGTGCTTTTTAATATTTTTTTGCTATTTTTACATTGATTTGTAACCAGGATTATGTTAACAAATGTAGCTGACCAATGAAGGGTTAATTACCCTATGTACTAATTAAACCAGGAGGTTTATAAACTGAAGAAAGTCGAAGTGATACTATCCTCTGATGAAGTGATCGGCTGATCACAAAACGCATAAGGCAGGCATCCTACACGAAGCTCTCAGGAGACAGCCAAGTTGAACGCATCCCAAGCCACAGTGGAACGCACGTGGCGAGTATCCAGTGTCTAACACCTCGCAGAGATCCATACATCCCCGATACGGCCGGCAGGAGGGAGCTACGAGGATCTTCTGGTCTGTAGGATATCGACCTGGTACCTTATGCCACTACTTTGGACGCTTCTATGAGTGCAAGTTTTTTATGTTTTTTTATATTCTTTATTTTTATTGTGCAGTTGTTTACAGAGCATATCAATGACGCCACAAAAGCGTAGACGTTAATCAGTACAGCATAAACAATGGCACAGAAAACAGTGCACCTTTTATAGTAAAACGATTCTGACACTGTTGAACATAACGTGTATTACGGATTGAACTGAGCTGTATACAAGTGGGTAGGTCGGGTATATCTAGCATCATATGTTCGAGCTCTAGACATTTTCGTAGTACTTGACATCGAGATCGTAATACTTTGTAGACATAGTGCCTAAGGCTATGGTCATCCCTGTTGCTATTAGTAAGTGGGGCTTCCGCCCTGTTAAGGGCAGCGCAGGGTATGCAGTGAACGAGGTGTAATGGGATACTAACGTATGGACAGGTAAACATGTAACCAGACTCCTACATGGGGTACCAGTGGAGCTTTGGTAGGCATTGTTATGGGGTGGATTTATGTAGCATTACAGTAAAGCGACAAAAACTCGTCTGCGGCCATGTTTTATACATTAAGGCACTGTGAAGAGCGGGTGGTTTAGTCCCTCGAGCCCACAGGGGGCCTCAGGTATTGCTCGTTGACAATGCAGCTTGGGTGGACCTTCTAGGGACAAATGTCACGGAGGTGGCCTGGTTCCATGCATGGGTGTTAGTGGTTTTGCGGGGTTGCAGTAGGGCGTCTTATGGGAGGCCCCAGGTCTCTAGGTGCATTTTCACATCTTGTAGGTCGGCTACTGAGTACGTAGCTTCTCCATGAAGCACCTGTAGCTTGTGGGGTGGGCGCCAATGGTAATTGACATTATGTGCACGAAGCAAGGTGGTGAGTGGCCTGAGGGTTGCGCGCCATGCCATTGTTCCTCTGGACGAATCCGCATAAAACGTGAGAGACATGTCCTCAAAGGCATATGGTGTGTTTCCCCTGGTGGTGGACATGATCCTGTCGTTTTTGAAATTTGACTATTATATCCCTGGGTGCTGCTAGTGGGGCTGTCGTTGGTTTGGATATTCTGAATACGCCATCTAGGCTTACTCCTTTGGCCTGCTTCGGGGAGTATTTAGCTTACCAGGCGTCTTATGGTGTGAGGCAATTCAGTGTCTGGGACTGACTCCGCTATTCCCCTGATCTTTATGTTTTGAGCGCGCCTTGAATCTTCTATTGACGCCATTTTTTTTCCACCTGCAGATGCTGCTGTTGTAGAAATTTTATGTCTTGCTGCAGCATGGTCGTTTGCCATGTATGGTTGCCAGAATCTTGCTCCACGACACCCATGCGGTCTGACAGGCCCTGGATGTCTTTTTTCATATCCGCCATGTCGGCCTGGATGTTCCGTCGGAGTTCTGCCAGTAACTCCCGCATCTCAGTCTTCGTGACCGGAGTAGCCTCCGGCTGTGTTTTGGGCTGTGTCGGCATTCGTGCCGCGGGTAAGTCCATCTCTTCTTGGTCTGAGATTTGGTCGTTGGAATTGTCCAAGTCGGCCATATAGTCTGCCATGTTAGGCTCTTGGGCGCCATGTGCTCGCCGCCATAGGTCCCCAATACTCATGCCTGGTCGTGGCATGTCCGATTTTACTTTTTCTATTTTTCTTTCCCATTGCTGCCTTGTTTACTAGTGCAGTTCAGCTTGTTTCGTCTGTTTTTGGGGGTGATAATCGTTTTTTTTTTTTTTTAAATTCTTTATTTTTGTTGTGCATAAAAGTAACATACAGGATTTCAGTAATCACGACATTGCTTGGTAACTGAGGAGATGTCCAAGGTTACATGTCTAAAAAGAGTAGACTGCACACTTTTTTAAAATGATAAAGACAGGCATAGTACACTGTGATGGCTTGTTAAGAGTGTGATAGTGTGCAGGCGAGTGATACTGCCTCGGAAAGTGCTGAACTGTAACAGGTTAGGTATATATGCAAGAGCCACAGCAACTAAGTTTAGTGCCATAATTTACAATCTCAAGGTAGATTAATAACCGGCTGAAAACAGGCATGTTGGCATATCTGCTGTGATATCAGGTGCTAGATTAGTGAGCAAAGGAGGCTAACATGTAGGGGAAACAGCAGTGCTTCCAGGCTCAGGCGCTATAACTAAACATATGCGTAGAGATGCTTTGTGTGCATTTTTCAAGTTAGGTGAGTTAAGCCTGGGTCTGGGTTTCTGGTTCTGGATCTCCAGTGTGGCGGCTAGAGTCGTTATAGGGGCTTACATATATTAAGGCTCCTTAACCCCGGAGTCTGGGGGGGGTTTCGCAGTGAAGGTATGTGCCACTTGTGTCTATAAGATGTCGCCTGGGTGCCCTGTAGGTTGTGCCAGGTTGAAGGGTCTGCGAGGTCGGAGTGTCGTGCGGGCTCTGTGTATTAAGTGGTAAGTATTTTTGAGCTGTCCCGGTCTACAGACTAGATGGCTAGCCTATAACATGGCATTAGGTGCAAAAAGAAAATGACATCGAAATGTATATCATCGAAATGTATATCAGGCATACAAATTATACATGAAATTGTTTACAAATGGGGGAGGACATTGCATAAGTCAGCGTGATATAAATCCGGCTGGTGCCTTTACTAGTTCCCACATTAAGAACTGGTGGGTGCACAGTGCTGCTTCCTTCTTGGGCTGCCTGTCCCGATGGGGTGAGCGGTGCTATGTTGGCTACATCCCACCGGTGTGGCGTTTTCGTCTTGGCACCTGTCATAGGGTGAATGCCCAGTGCTTGTAAAAATTGTGGTGCTTCCGCCGGTGTTGTCAGTCGGTGGCTTTGCCCTTTTTGTGTGGCAATTAGCGTTCGGGGGTAGCCCCATTTGTATTGTATGTCCGCTGCCCTCAGTCGTGTTGTGGTTTCTTTCAGGGATGCACGCCACTGCAGCGTCTGGCGGCTCAAGTCTTGGTAAAAGTGTAAGGCAAGGTCCTCGAAAGCGTACGGGGTCTGGCCCCTGACAGCACGGAGGAATCCGTCTTTATCTGAGCGGGATTTGAAGCTCATTATGACATCCCTTGCGGAGTCTGGGGCATTGCGTGGGCGCCCTGGTATGCGGAATAGGCTGTCCAGGGTCAGTCCTTTGGCCTGTTTAGATGGAAGGGCAGCCTGTAGCAGCCTCTTTATGAGGAGCGGCAGTTCGTCTGCTGTCACAGTGTCTGGGATCCCCCTCACCTTGATATTTCTCTGTCTCGCCATATCTTCAAGCTGCCCCATTCAGGCGTTTAGTTGTGAGCATGTGGTTGCTAGCTCCTGCGTTTGCTTTGCCGTGGCGTCGTGCTGGGCTCTCAAGTCCTGGACTGCTTCTTCCGTGGCTCGCATGCGGCCTGTAAGTGTGCTCAGCTCCATTTTGAGGCCTGCTAGTTCAGCTGTGAAGAAGGCCTTAAGGTCAGTCACCATGTCTGATAGGTCGGCCTTAGTGGCTAGTGGTGGTTCTGACTGCCTTGGTGGTGCAGTTTGTTGCTTCCGTTGGGGTGTCGGCATGTCGCTGAGGTAATCATCCTCTGAGGCAGAGGGAGACTCCATCCCCATGGTTTGGAAGGCGTCCGCCATTTTGGGCCTGCATGCCTGGGACAAGAGTTGCCCGATATCGTGGGTATGTCCCACGGATGACACTCGGGGTTTCAGTGAGTGTTTCCCCATATTGTGCTGACTCTCCCTCAGCTTTTCCCCGATTTGTGGAGGTGGTTTTTGAGGGTTCTTTGGCCGTTTTGCCGTGGTAATGTCGGAGCTCGGGTTTCATGCGACTTGTCGGCTTGGCAGCTAGCTCCGCCCCGTGATAATCGTTGTTTTATCCGTTTAAGTGCTGTTATTTCTCGGAGCTCGCTGGAGATGCGACCAGTCGGCTCAGCTGTTGGCTTCGCCCCCCCTATGAGTGCAAGTTTTATTTATTTATCTTTGACAGTTTTCATCGTTTTCTAAATACATTTTCAATAGAGAACACCCTGTCTCTATATTATATACCACATCATGCAACGCGGACTTGACAAAGACTCTGTGGTCAATATTGATACATATCCTGACAGAGATTGTATCATTCCAAGATTAATGTATCGTTTTTTTTTTCCATTATTAGGTACTAAACCGATACTCTATTATTTTCAGCTTTACCAGAATTTCTTTTTTGTAGATTGTATCTTTTATATTTGTATTAAGAAGATCTGAGGGGTCTTCTTACAATCATACATTTGGTAATAAGTTTGATTTATTTTACTTTTACCTGTGGGGAGCACGTGTGTTATATTTGAACATATTTTTTCCTTTTACCAGAATTTCTTCCTACTTATACCATAGCAGGTAATCAGTCTGGAATTCATTTAGCTGATACAATTCTATCAATTGATGATTTTTTATCTTTTTATTTATTTAATATTTATGTTTCATTTATTATCCACTTTTACTGTTCAAGGTATATCCATTTGGATCCAAACTTGTGCAATAAGCATTTAGCTTTTCACATTCTCTGTGTAACACCGTTTGGTAGATCTCAGTCAACTCAAGTATATGTATATTTTTTGATATTTTTATAAGCTTATTGTGCAATTCTATTCCCTCATTCCGATTTATATTCCATTTATATTTCTCTATCTATAGCTTACGTTGGTAGTAGTGATGTCCCAAACGGTTCGCCGAACGGTTCGCCACGGACGGCGAACATATGCGGTAAACTTTGACCCTGTACCTCACAGTCAGCAGACACATTCCAGCCAATCAGCAGACCCTCCCTCCCAGACCCTCCCACCTCCTGGACAGCATCCATTTTGAAGCTGCATTCTTAGTGAGCTGTCCAGGAGGTGGGAGGGTCTGGGAGGGAGGGTCTGCTGCTGATTGGCTGGAATGTGTCTGCTGACTGTGAGGTACAGGGTCAAAGTTTACTGCATATGTTCGCTGTCCGTGGCGATCCGTTCGGCGAACCGTTCGTGACATCACTAGTTGGTAGTTATTCTCTTTTCAGTGAGATAGTGGTTATAGTTGTCCAGTTCAGGTCTCCTCACTTAAACTCTAGTGGGACACCACACCAGTCTTCTGGGCGTGTTTTCCCGTCTATAAGTTTGTATCTTTTTCCAATGTTGAATTTATGTGTATAGTGTAAACATCAGGACCCCTAGCAACTGAAATGTAATACACTGTTTGACAAGTAGTTTTGTAAGATTAGTTTCCCTGTAGAGGTAATACACAAACATATAAAATAAAGCCTAGGAAAGAGTATCTCTGATGAAATATTATAAACAGGGAAATGGACCCATTTTGGTTACTCATGGTGGCACAAGCTAATTATTGATATACTTTGTTTACTTTTAATTGTAATTTGCTTCTGGTGCAACTTCCAAATAAAATTGCACAAATATATTGTTCACACTGGTATGGAGACATTTTCCTTTCATTCCAGTGTAGCACCTTGACACTATCATATAGAACAAAGAGTTGGACACATGATCTCCCTATTATACGGAGCTCAGCATTGGGATTGTTACCATAAATGTGGATAAAATTAAGCTTTTATCATAATTGTTGGTTTGCTTTTTTTGTACAACTTAAAATGTTTCTATAATTGCAGTGACATTTCAGAGCATGATTGGGGTGTCTGGGTAAGACTCGTTAAATCAGGGCCCCTGTCACAATGGCGGGTGCACAGAGCCAGTAGTAATGTGTCAGGGCAGCTTGTGTCATATGTGACAGCAAACTCGGCGGCTGAGCTGTGCTATCCAGGGAGGGCTACATACAGTGTCACTGGCTGATATATATTAATAATAATAATGGCTATATAATTTGCAGCCCATTGAAGTCTCCCTCCAGGCCTAGCGAGGAGGAGCTGCTATACTGGAAAGCAGAAATGGCTGGAGATTACAGAGAGGGGCTTGCATGTTTGAGGGGAAAGCTTGGGGTGCTCACTGGAAGGATGGGATATAATCTAAATCTGTCTGTCCTGAGTGCACAATGTCTGAGTACAGGGACACTCTGAGTGCACAGTGTCTGAGTACAGGGACATACTGAGTGCACAGTGCCTGAGTACAGGGACACTCTGAGTGCACAGTGTCTGAGTACAGGGACACTCTGAGTGCACAGTGTCTGAGTACAGGGACACTGAGTGCACAGTGTCTGAGTACAGGGACATACTGAGTGCACAGTGTCTGAGTACAGGGACACTCTGAGTGCACAGTGCCTGAGTACAGGGACATACTGAGTGCACAGTGTCTGAGTACAGGGACACTCTGAGTGCACAGTGTCTGAGTACAGGGACACTCTGAGTGCACAGTGTCTGAGTACAGGGACATACTGAGTGCACAGTGTCTGAGTACAGGGACACTCTGAGTGCACAGTGTCTGAGTACAGGGACATACTGAGTGCACAGTGTCTGAGTACAGGGACACACTGAGTGCACAGTGTCTGAGTACAGGGACACACTGAATGCACAGTGTCTGAGTACAGGGACATTCTGAGTGCACAGTGTGTGAGTACAGGGACACTCTGAATGCACAGTGTCTGAGTACAGGGAAACACTGAATGCACAGTGTCTGAGCACAGGGACACACTGAATGCACAGTGTCTGAGTACAGGGACACACTGAATGCACAGTGCCTGAGTACAGGGACACACTGAATGCACAGTGCCTGAGTACAGGTACACACTGAGTGCACAGTGTCTGAGTACAGGGACACACTGAATGCACAGTGTCTGAGTACAGGGACACACTGAGTGCACAGTGTCTGAGTACAGGGACACTCAGTGCACAGTGTCTGAGTACAGGGACACACTGAATGCACAGTGCCTGAGTACAGGTACACTCTGAGTGCACAGTGTCTGAGTACAGGGACACACTGAATGCACAGTGTCTGAGTACAGGGACACTCTGAATGCACAGTGTCTGAGTACAGGGACACTCTGAGTGCACAGCGTCTTACAGGTACACTCTGAGTGCACAGTGTCTGAGTACAGGGACACTGAGTGCACAGTGTGTGAGTACAGGGACACTCTGAATGCACAGTGTCTGAGTACAGGGACACTCTGAATGCACAGTGTCTGAGTACAGGGACTCTCTGAGTGCACAGTGTCTGAGTACAGGGACTCTCTGAGTGCACAGTGTCTGAGTACAGGTACACTCTGAATGCACAGTGTCTGAGTCCAGGGACACTCTGAGTGCACAGTGTGTGAGTACAGGGACACACTGAATGCACAGTGTGTGAGTACAGGAACACTCTGAATGCACAGTGTCTGAGTACAGGGACACTCTGAGTGCACAGTGTGTGAGTACAGGGACACACTGAATGCACAGTGTGTGAGTACAGGAACACTCTGAGTGCACAGTGTGTGAGTACAGGGACACTCTTAGTGCACAGTGTCTGAGTACAGGGACACTCTGAATGCACAGTGTCTGAGTACAGGGACACACTGAATGCACAGTGTCTGAGTACAAGGACACTCTGAGTGCACAATGTGTGAGTACAGGGACACACTGAATGCACAGTGTGTGAGTACAGGGACACTCTGAATGCACAGTGTCTGAGTACAGGGACACACTGAATGCACAGTGTCTGAGTACAGGGACACTCTTAGTGCACAGTGTGTGAGTACAGGGACACTCTGAATGCACAGTGTCTGAGTACAGGGACACACTGAATGCACAGTGTCTGAGTACAGGGACACTCTGAGTGCACAGTGTGTGAGTACAGGGACACTCTGAGTGCACAGTGTCTAAAGTACAGGGACACTCTGAGTGCACAGTGGAAAACCCTGTGACTGTTTAAATTGTCAGTAATTAACCAGGGAATTTCAAAATTGCCAGATTGGAAAAATGTGAATTCCTGACCATTCGCTGAATAACCCCGATAGGCTTATCAGATTTTTAAACTCAGTGGCTTTCTGTCTCTAAGGGTTTTGAATTGTGGTATGTTTTCCCAATTGCCATCTTCACACAGAGTTTTCGTTATATATTCCAGTGCAAATTATAGATAAATGTACCATAACTAGGGTAAAAGAAAATACGACGACTATGTCCCTGATTTAATATCGTCGGATAATCTTTCCAAATGATTTAATAAATTTTTAAAATTATTAATATTATAAAAAATAGTTACATTTTGTAATATTTTAATGTATTTTTTATATAAATTATATATTTTTGATATTTAAATATGTTGTTGAAATTATTTTTAAACTTTATCCAAAAATATTAAATAATTTGGAAAGCATATCCAACATGATAACATCGAGGCTAAATCAAGGACTGGAATTGTTGTGAACTGAAAAACAAAATGCTAAATTTAGACAAAATAGCAGTTTTGGAAAGTTTTAGTGCACAATAGCCATAATAATATTGTTGTAGAAGGTAAAATATGCACATATCGCTGTATGGGGACACCGTGCTTGGTAGATAGGGACTAAATAGCAACATCAGGGCTGGAGTTATTTTCTAACTTGTCACATCTGGATCCAACAATCCTCCACAGCTGGAGGGAAATACTAACAGTAAGCACTTTTCCACACACTGGATTTATTTAATCTCTTTACTCTCCCATCAAACAGGAATCAGGTTTGAAATCAGAATTCAACCACTCGACATATGATCCGAGAAAGGCCTTCCTTCCCTCCACTGAAAAATGGTCCCCCAATCTGCAGCTTCCACAAAAATCTCCATTTGAAACAAATATTCAGAGTATTATATCTTCTGGCAAATTATTGCTTTCCCCCTTAAGGAATATTCAGTGTGCATAGCATGTGCAGATCTAGATAAACTCCTGTTTACCTTTGGTATTTGAATTCAAATCCAGAGTAATGCTAAATAGTAAAATAAATATAATAAATAGAAAAAAGAATGTTACAAAAATAATTATCCAGATTTATATTCATTTTGTTTAAATGCATTGACATTTTTGCCTGAACAGTTAAATTCTTTCTTTAAAGAACAGTTTTATTATCTCTTCATTAGTTAGACCACACTAACGTCCTGCTTTATAATTTTTTTTACCAATAACACAGTTTTTCACTAAACCACAGACTGTCACTTCCTCCCAGCCGGCCGACATTACAGGGGCCCGGTCGCGGTCCTAAAGGACAGCGGTACTTGACCGGGTCCCTATTGAGCAGTTATGTTTCCCTGGTGCTATAATCATAGCTCCAGGGAAATATTACTCAGCACCGCTGGGGGATTGGGAACCGCTGGCCTAAAAAAAAAGTTTCTTTCTCGAGCTCCGAGCAAAATTTGATTTAAAAAAAAAAAAAACACGAAAAACACAAGAGAAATAATCCTTATTTACACCATCTGCTACTGATACCTTCTTACAACCATGGGGCGCCGGAGCAAAAAATATAAACCTGACAGACCTCCAACTGTGGCCAACATATCCGATTTGCTGTGGAGGTCTGATGTGCCCTGCGCGCTTCCAGTGAAGCATCCCAGGTGGATGAGGTGGAATTTGAGGCACAACTTGATGGTGGGCCCACACACTTACCTGCTAAGCCAGCCAGGAAGCCTCCGGTTATGGAACAAGTGCTGCAGGGCCTCCTTGACGAACTGTGCCTCAATATTGCGACATCGGTCGATTCTGGGAGGAGATAAGCAGAGTTTATACACAATACACAATTGAATACTGTTGCCCATGAGATCCACATCTCAACCTTAGAGCAGAAGCACTTAACTTTGCAGCGCGCCCATTCATTAACCCAGGACTAATGCACGGCTTGCCTGACAATATTGAAGCCGCAGACTATCCACAGTGTTATTTTCTGCAAAATAGGCAAAAACCATGCTACTAGAAGGATGATACCGCATTCCCAGACCAACTACTGGCACTCCGGGTTCAAGCAGGGACAACCTCCTCCACTTCCAGCAGAGACAGGATCGCTTGGCTTTCATGACGGTTGTCCTCAATAGATTGTCATTCCATTTTGAGGGGAATTTCTTGATTTCGTCCAGAGCTACCATGCATTGGCAAAGATCTTTTAAGACCCTTGGCAAAGGAACTCTCCAACCATAAGATACCATACAGGTGGGACACACCCCAATGTCTGATCATACCCAGAGACACTGGTGCAGTACGAGTCAGTGAGGCTTCAGAGAAAACTGATACACTAGAAAAGCTTGACTTAACCGCACGGGCCTCTGGGCCACCTCACTCTCAACTTCCGACGACTTTCACTAACTGTGATCCCGAGAGAACTAGACCGTTTGTACCAGTGAAATCCCCTGACCGGGGAGATCCCTCCTCTGCTTCAGCATCTTGACCTTTCAAAGAGGCAACCTACAGTATCTTATGGGTTTTTTTGTTTTTATTTATTCTGGCATTTTCATAATTTTCATATTGACATACGAGATTTTTGCTCCACTTTTTTATTATTTGGATAGCAGGAGTTAAAACCCAGTTTAAATGGCTCCTTTGTCCCCCAGCACCACTTCCCAGCCTCATTTCTATTTACATTGTTCTATCAGCTGTATAGTGGGGGAACAAGCCTCTACAGTTTACGATCATTATACGGTATGGGAAGCATATTGATTACATTATACCTATCATTCAAAAACCCACATACCCACGTGTTATATCGTCTCAATATGCAATATTATGCTACCGATACTTGGCATACTTTTTCTATTGCCAAATATTGTGTATGCTTTTGTGAATTGTGAATAAATAAAGATTTAAAATTAAAAAAAAGGGAACTGATCTCTCGGCTTAACGAGTCGTGCTGGGAAATATGTTGAGTTGGAGAATTT